CGACTGTAAACGGAAGAAAACAAATATTAGCACATAAAATGTACAGAAATTTTAGTTTCATTTAGCCATTTTTTTCCACGTTGTCTCAAGCCCACCTCCGTAGGGTCTTATACTTAGGTTAGTTATATGTTAAGACACACTTTTCAAATATACATAATAAAAATTTAACATTGACTATATTTTTCATATAATTACCATATTTAAGGCGATAATATGCCGTCAAGTAATAAAGAAAATATCAATATTTCACGGGACGGCAAGGCGCGTTGTTTTTCCACGTGCTAAACAGAAAGATCAGTGTTCACACACTTCCATTTTAAAGTGTGTCCACACATCAAGCATAGACATTTCCGAACATGTGGCAGCACGGCTCCTGATGTCATAAATGTAATCGCGAGTGCATAACATCACTAACCAAACAACACCTATCGAGTTCGAAATATCGATGTTGTCGGTGTTTATTGCCAGCCCTACACTTTACCCTGCCAACAATTTCTTGGATTGGAAATAATTATAATTACCATCATTTTTGTATTTATATTTCGTATTCCAAATCGTCCAAGACGGTTAACTTACAGGAAATAACTATATTGCTAAAGAGGTTGTCGACCAGTTTACCTTCGTGGCAAGTGAACGGCAACAATAACTGCATGGCAATGGAATTTTTGTTGTAAGTATATATACTACATGCATATGTATGTAGTAACTGAATCACATATGTATGTACAAACATAAGTACGTATAATGTTCATTTTACATACGAAAGTTTGTATGTTATGTGAACTGGAAACACTGTTGCACTTACAACTGAAACAAAGAGCACAACCCTTTTGCTTTGTTCAACCAATATGGTGGGTGTGAGTCAGTGGCTCCACCGTTTGTAAGTCGCCTGGGGTTGTTTGTTGTGGCATGCCAATACAAAACAACATTTTGTTTTCTTTTATGTTTGTTACCTTTAGCGGTTCACGTTCAAGCAAAACGTTTAAACCTAAAAAGAACATACCAGAGGGCACCCATCAATATGATCTCATGAAGCATGCAGCTGCCACACTTGGCTCTGGGAATTTACGCAATGCAGTCGCTCTGCCCGATGGTGAGGATCTCAACGAATGGGTGGCCGTCAACAGTGAGTAGTGTAGAATCAATGAAGCCGAGCATAACTAATTGTTTCTCTATTTGTTCCTCATAGCCGTGGATTTTTTCAATCAAATTAATATGCTTTATGGTACAATTACGGAGTTTTGCACAGAGGAAAGCTGTAGCATAATGTCGGCTGGTCCGAAATATGAATACCATTGGGCGGATGGTTTGACTGTGAAGAAGCCCATCAAATGCAGCGCGCCTAAGTATATTGATTATCTAATGACCTGGGTGCAGGATCAATTGGATGATGAAACATTGTTTCCATCAAAAATTGGTGTACCATTTCCAAAGAACTTTCTTGCCTCCGCTAAAACCATACTAAAGCGACTGTTCCGTGTCTATGCGCACATCTATCATCAGCATTTCTCCGAGGTGGTAACGCTGGGCGAGGAGGCCCATTTGAATACGTCCTTTAAGCATTTTATATTCTTTGTCCAAGAGTTCAACCTGATTGAGAGACGCGAACTGGCGCCACTGCAAGAGCTGATCGATAAGTTGACGGCAAAGGATGAACGGCAAATATAGGAATCACTGCAATCGGTGGCCAATGCGACCACTGTCAATAGTGGCAATAGCTTGCAATTGGACTTGTGATGGGCGGGCGCAACTGCGCTTTACTTTCAATTGCATATTGTTGCTATAGGGATATATATATGTATATCCATACGCTTTAGTTAGTTACCGCCTTTCCTTTTCTCGTTTATAGCCTTTAAGTTTTGTTCAGTGCTTGGTGTGGTCCCACTAAACCTATCCCCCGATAGTGTGCTGTTTGCAAACGAGATGATGAGCAACATCTACTATATATATTTTTATATGTGACACGTACTTTTAAGAGATATATAAAACATATTTATATTTATACACATATGTATGTACATTCAAAAAAGCAATCAACATAACAAACAGCACGCAATGATACACTAACAAATCCCGCTTATAAACAACATTCAGTTCACAAAATCTGTGCGTAATTCATTTGTTTACTGTATTTTTGTATGTGGTGTGTACGTATTTATTTTATATATCGATCAACAGATGTGAAATCTATTGCATTGCAATCCCTTAGCAAAGTGAGACGACACTCGATAGCCCCAATAAATGATAATAAATATAGACTTGATAAACATTTTTGATATACTATTTTATACTAATAAAGAAACTGAAAATATTATGAAAGAAAAACAAGGTATTAAGTTTACTTTATTAATTCAATATCTATGTCGAACTGATGATTAATATGTATGTACATATATGTATATTACGGTTCAAAATGATTCTACGAATGTGAACGATAAGAGAAAGCTGAACGCCTTCCAACAAAGCGAAAGCTAATGATAATGATAAAACATAAATAAATATTTGTAAATATAAAGTGAGCATTGTTGAAAAGCTTGAACGAACCCTAAAATAAAGCACAACGCCATTTGTACACATTATCGGACTAACACTCATAATTCGCATACTGAAAGTATTCTTATACTATATACATATGTCAGCTAAAAATCTTAATCGTATTTAGCTAATCGGTTGCTTATCGCTTGACCAAGCTTTTATATTTGCCTTGCTCCACATAGAAGTCAGCGTTCTGTTCGAGCAACCGCTTCCATTTCATAGCCAGCTCTTTGTAAGTGGGCCCCTGGCCACCCAAATTCTTTGGCAATTGCTTGCACTTTACCATTGTTCCCTCGCGTCGTACTACGACGCGGGATCGTATCTTTGTCGTCATGAAGACCCTAAATCGAACATACATTCATATTTTCATATTTATATAAGGTTTGGATCGGACTCACCGAAATGTGTTTAAAAATAGGTTAACGTGACGCGGGGCATTGGTGAATTCCAAGAGCTTGGGCTGACATGGATATGCCGTCCAGCTCTCAACGGAACGTTTAATGAGCTTGGGATTCAGCTGCAGTGCATGACCCAATTGGACACCCTGCATATCCATGATGGCAACGATGCCGCGAGCACAGTTGTCTGGCTCAAACTTTAATAGTAAATCCAATATCATTTTGCTTGTCTAAAAAAGGGCAAAGGTTAGCAACTATTGCATACAAATATATTTGTATATATTGAATATGTATGGTGTATACCTTAAACACATTGTTCTGACTATGGCGCTTGGGATCGTGCGCTGCCGTCCGTATAATAACAACCTTCCGCTGTTGCTCGTCGACCCCATCGACGGGCAAAAAGACGCCCAGTGTGAGCAGTTCCTGTATTTCGGGCAACATGGGATCGCAATTGTCAAACCATTCGGTACGCTCGGCGCGCATTTGGTAAAATGTTTTTAGTTTGCTTTTGGTGCGTTCAACATCGAATTTGCAGGTGCGCAAAAAGAAGTGCAAACTGTCATAGGCTTTACATCCATTTATATGCGGATTGGCGTCTAGCCAATCGCTTAGCTCCTGTACCTGTAGCTGCTCCTTTTTCTCTATTAAATCATCCTCATTTTCCAACAAAACGTTGAAATCTGGCAGGTCGGCATCTATACTGTTCTCATGTGAGTCCATGTCCGCTGCTGCTGCCGTTGCTGCTGCTGCACTTGCACTGATCGGCCGTCTGTGAGCGACTGGTCATTGCAGTCGTAAGCTTTCGGAGCGTACAAAATTAATAGCTTTTGCTTTTGGGCCTAGTGGGCGTAGGGCGGAGGGCAGAGCATTTCAATACTGGTCAGTACTGGTAGACAGCCAGCTAAATATAGTTATCCATTAAGCGGCTAAGTGTGCAAAAACATTGCATTTATCTTACATAAAGTGCCCAATCGGATTAGAAAAAACTTTTCGTAAAAATACCGATTCAGCACATTTGAAATGTTGGGATAGGTCAAACGGCACGATTAGTTTGCTGAAGAAGTGTTGGGTAATGCTATGTGTGAATCGTGCTGCAGAAAACTTGGTTTGCATTGGGTCGCAGCACTGTTTGATCAGTGGTCGCAATTAGATCGTCACGTTCTCAATATACTAAGCATCCAAGTATTATAAAAATGTAAATTCATACATTTTTGCAAATTAGATGCAGTAGAAATTCTTTAAAATATTCAGTCATTTTTTTAAAATACTAAATTCCCAAATGTCAAACAGCAGCATTTGATTTAACATTTCGCGCCAAGGCAATCGCTTTGTTATCGATAGACGATACAACACATATGTAAATATCAAAATATTTATTTCTTATATTTTTGTCGGTGTAGCACGTGCGAGCTCGTTTTTTTTTTTCAAGTTAGTACTAAATACTAAAAATGGAGGAACCTGATGTAATGGAAATAGATCATATGGAGTGTGATGTTTGTGGCGAGCGCACATTCCAGGAACGCGAAGGCTATTATTACTGCATCGAATGCGGCACCAAGAAGGAGCAGCTACGCGCTGTAGAGATCAGCGCCGAAGACACATTCAACGACACATCAAAGCACGTCTCCCAGCGTACAATAAAGAAACCCAAAGTCAAGGCAGAAGAAAATGACATTACATCGTGGGAGTTTTATAATTATGTGCTGCGCGGGTTTCTGGACGAACTGCTAAACATGGGCGCCAAGCCAGAGCTCAAGCTAATGACACTTCAGGTGTGGGCCGCCTATATGGCACGCATGGAGGTTGCCTTCAACAAAAACAATGAGATGGGCCTGCCAAAGTTGAATGTGCGGGCTGTAGCCAGGTAAGGAAACAGGCCTTCCCTTTCATTCATATTTTTATTTTTACTTTTATTTCTAATTTTGGTTCCCTTCAGAGACGCCCATATTATTTATAATTACAAGAAGATAAAGCGGAAGCGTGAACGCCAGGATAAGCAATTACAAATTGCTGAAACTGGCGATGAGCGCGCCAACTGGCGTGAGTGGAGAAAAACCAAGGTACTCTCATGCTACAATTTTAACTTTATTTTTAAGTTCTTTTATGTATATTACGACATCACTCGGCCATTGATTAGAAGTAGAATTGGTTGGGGTCCAGCAGAGGCAGCAATAGGAAGAAAGTGCGCTGCTTTGGAATAGCCGGGTCTGAGGACGGTGTGGATGGGGATGCAGCTAGTTCAAGTTGGGGCAAGCTATTAGCTTCCACTAAAGCAGCTGTATAGAAAAATGTAAAAATTATTAAATAATAGCTCAGGCGTTAAGACTTACCCTCTAGGGGTGCCGCTGATGTAGGCAATGGTGCGTAGACCAGCACAAGAAGTGCTAGGCAGATCAGGGCGAAACGGAGAGACATTTTCCGAAATCTTGTAATTGTTGCTTCAAGCTAAAATGCTGAACTGAAATGTGTCTTGCTAAGCTGACTATTTATAGTTGAGTCTGCACATTAGCAAACGACTTAACCAATTACCTCAGCTAATCAATCACCTGACTATCTAGAGTGAACTGACAACCAATGCTCTCATTTTGTTTTTATGTCTTTAGCGCAAGTTGGATGAGTCGGGCTACAAGGGTAAAAAAGGCGCCCAATCGGAATCCACATTGCAAACTAACCAAAGTCTACAGCTACAATGGTCAGTGAATGCCCGAAAATCAATGAAAAAGCAAATGCCGCTCAAGCATCTGGATAAGCATAGTTTGGACAGTTCAGGAAGCATGCTATGCCACGGCCTGCGTCCCAAAGCTAGTCTTCTATGTAATTTTGATCGGAATATTTATTGTTTGAACATTATCAAATTGTATACTGTGCTGGCCATAGCCCTTAACCAAATTGAGGACGATATACAGTTAACTGATCTACTTAGATTTGTTAATGAGGAGCACCTGACTAGTCGCTATATGTTAAGTTATTTGCCTGAGAATGTCGCCATACACGGCAAGACGCTGGTGAAGCAAATGGAGTTTAATCATCAAAGGGATAAGTGTGGCTATAAGGCAAGTTTTAAATAGATTGTTTATAAGGCTTATAGCTTATAATTTTTATTTTATATTTCAGTTCTTGCGTGCTCAGATTTCACATATGTCCCGTTTTATAGATATGAATGGTTTCCAAAAGCCGGATCTAGAAGCACTTACCAAGCGGTATGTTCTTGAACTGGACTTACCGCCAGTAATAGCCAGCTATGTTAGCAGTTTAATGGAAGTACTGCCTCCTGCCTTTGATCCCAATTTTGGAATTCACGTCTATCCTCGCTATGAAGCTCGAGTCATGGCCTACATTATATATGTCATGAAGCTACTGTTTGGCCTGGATGATGTCAAGGAGCGCGCTATATCGGAATCTGCCATGCTCATTAACAAAGAGCTCTTAAAGCCAACTGATGAGCAGACAGAGCAAGTGCAGCCGCTCTTCGTCTATACGGAATGGATGCAGTTTGTTGAGTTGCGTAAAGTTTTAGTGTCACATTACAGCGAAAGTTTCGCACAGCGATTTGGAGTTACTACCGGAAATGGGCGCAAGGTTAACGACTTTTTGAATAAGGAAAGGAAACAGAAGGAGCATGAATATAACCACATTGAGATGCAGATAACGCCAGCAATGCAGCGCATACATGAGAATATTAGTTTAATTTTCGAGACATTGCTGAAAAATAAATTCGGCGAGTCAAGTAGCGAGAGCTTCATGAAGGATCACATCGAGTTTCAGCCCAGTCTAACACCGGCACATAGCTACTTCAAGCGAATTCTCCTGCACGCGAGCCAAGCAGAAGAAGGCGAGATGAGCGTACAAATTCCAGACTTCATGAAAGTAGATCACACAGAGCGTCAACTGGAACCCTTTAAATATCAGACAGCAGAATTGGCTCAGTACCTGGCCGTAAGGGGGAAAACGCTGCGTGTGGAAGAGTTGGCGGTCCAGAAGGAATATGAGGAAATTGGAATATTTCAGATGTTGGCACGTCCAAAGATTCGCCACAGGGAATGGCGCGCCAATTGCGAAATCGCTACACAGAATTGGCTGGACGAACTTCGACGACGGGAAAAACGACCGAAATTCGAATTCCGACGACCTGTTGCAACTTACGGCCGCCAATATCAAAATAAAATGATGGAACGCGCTGTACGCCGTCAGGCACTAGAGAGAGATAATCCCTTTTGGAAATTACGCGATACGCCAAATTATATATTGACTATCGACAATGAGGATGTGTCGTTAAACAGTTTAGCTTCCATACAAACATTCGATGAGGACAACATGGATCCGCTGCGTGTGCCACTGAAGATGCCACGTCGTCAGGTGCGCCCAATGTCCCAAGAGACTACAGCATCTGCACAACCAAAGTCAGAGGAACCGACTAGAGAGGAGGAAGACATAACAGGAGAGCAAGAGCTTCTATTGAAAATATCCAATTTCGATTGTTGGCTACTGCATGGATATATAACACGAATGAAAGACTCCAGTAAGCAGAAACTCCGTTCGATTTTCCCCTGCTCCTTTCGATGGTTGCTCGAAACATGCGCCGCCACCCTTGGTGTCGATTGGGATGTGGTCTACGAGCAGTTGTTGGTACTGGAGGTGGTTTTCCATCATGGCATCGAGGATTGGAGCTGTCATAGCAACCATTTGCGCTTAAAATATAATATACTAAATAAGGATATCAATTTGTTAACCAAATCTTTTAGAGATATGTGGTAGAAGTGTTGTGTTGCAAGACTTCCTAATCTCATACATATTTTTTTATCACTTAATAACCGACACAAGAATAAACAAGTCGCACCAGCGCGTAACATCAATATGCAAATTAGCATTTATCAGAAGAATGCCGAGCTGGCGACAGAAGCTACAACAGTAGCAACTCTTCTGTATAGGGCTCGACTGGAAGATACCCTGAAATCTTGTAATCCCTATCGATCTATAAGTAGTTGAGGTATGCCAGAAACAGCTTTTAAATGAAAATTGATAAAATAATATTGCAGTCGGAAGAGTAATCGATGACAAAATTCTTAAATTTCCATACAGCTAGGGCTAAATCGAATTGAAGGTATATTCAGATGAATATGTTACATACATTTTATCAAAACTATTATACTTAATTTGAATGAATTTAGGGTATAGCAATAATAATAACATCACTTACTCGCACAAAGTTTTGTTTACATTTTACAAAAAAGAAAAAAATCTTCAAAAAGAAAGAGCACTAACAGCCTCCTCACGGCCGCAGAAACACATGCATATTGAGAGAGGGGCTCTCTTCTCTCCACATTCTCTTTCACAAACGTACTCATGCACACACACACACACACACACACACACAAACACCCTCTGCACTAGCAGGTGCCGAGCGGCGTTGCAGAGAATGAGACACAGAAATAGAGCGCGTGAGCGCCCGTTTGTTTACAGTGGAACACAGATAGGAAATCCAGCACGATGTTATGAATTAAAATTATTATTGCTATTGCCAAATTATAACTAATAGCCTGTTTAGCCTCGAGACTACTAATAATAATGTAGGTTGATAATATTTATTTGTGGAAGATCCATTTTATAAGTGAGGTGAATAACAATTGGTAAACAAATAACTTCCTTAAAAATCTTCAAATTTCATAAAGTAGAGAACTCAGAATCAGGTTACTGTTTACTCCAATGCAAACATTTCACTCTCCTACATATCTGAAGATTGTCTAAATCATTAAAGCTCCGCCCCACTGTACGTGTTATGTGGAAATCATAGGCCGCACATTCGTTGGGCGACGCATGCGAGTTCAGTGCTAATTTTAACGACGCCGCGTTGACTGTTTTGCTTTTTGCGGTTTTTGATTTGCTTTGCTTTACGTTCAAGTTGAATAAAAATTTAAATCAGTTTCAGTGCCTTTGTCAAGCGCACGGCAGATGTAAGTGCCAGACGCGTTTGTCGCTCCTTTTCAAGTTCAATTTCAATTCGAAAGTGCAAGTGCTCATAAACAATAAAAGAGTGTTGGTAACGGAACTATTTATACCGTTAGCTGTAACATTATTTGCATTCGCTGCAGTAGCAAAACAAAACTGCAATTAAAATACAAAACAAAGCAAGAATTGAGAAAATTTTGGTAAATACAAAGAGATCAGGGACTGATAATAACAAATAGGCGGCAAAATCGAATCTACTGGAACGAATCATTTCACTGTTAATTCGGATAGTTTATGGCTTAAATAAAAGTCATAGCAAACTCCTCAAAAACAAAAAATAATAATAATAATAATAATAATAAGAATAAAAAAAATGTGAAAATATGCAAATAACTTTTATGTGACTTAGCTGTTTTAGCTAAAAGAAGCAAACGTTCTGCTTTTAACATTTGACTAATTCAAGGCGTGTGGTGTTAATTATTTCATATTTGGCAATACACCTGTTTCAATAAATATTGTCGTACAAAACGAAATTTTGCCAAGTTGCGTCAGTCTGCGGTAAACCTACCAATAATAAGTTACATACTTACCTAGGTATATACGGATCTGTAATGAGTTCCTACGTGCAGTTACTGTTCGTGTGTGTGTGTGTGTACATAATGATATCATATAGCACATAACAAAGGTATCACCATACCGTTTTAGAGCCTAAGCCTCCCCCTTCCCACAACCCTGCCTCCTTGCTAGAAGCTACGTCGCTTTGTACGTGCGATCCAAGTTTTAGTTTTGTTGACGTTCTTGGCGGCTTTTGAGGTTAACAACATTGTTTCACCAAAAACAACAACAACAACAACAACAACAACAGTTGTATTTGCCATATACATTCAAAAGTAAATTCATTGTATAACAACAATTAATGGCAGCTATTTTGTCACTAAGTTTTATGCCAAAAAAAAGAGCTATATATTTGCTAAAGCTGTTTGCATCAATTACAACAAATTCATTCAAATTGCTTGAACAGAATACGCGCTTTTATCTCTCCACTGACTCTTCATGTAATTTGTTTAGCTGTCATATAATACGCGCATAAAGTCCGTTTAATTTTGTCAAATGTTTAATTAGTTGCGGCATTCATTCATTTAGTGCATTAATTAGACGAACTGCATGATAAAGCCACAAAACAAAAACAAAACAACAATATTGCCCGATCGATATCTATTTATTATCTATAGACAGATACGGAACTGCCACCGTCAATATATCTCACCTTTATCTCTAATAATGAATGAAGCCACGATTCTTGTCAATAGTGAAATGTGTCACGCATCCTGATGAAAGGGTTTAAATATAACTCAGACCAAACTCATCCCTAAAAATGAAAGTAGCTTAAAATTGGAATTTAATTAACTTGTTTTTAGGTAGCTGCCGAAAATAGAGTTGGCCAGGACAGAGCAGGTGCGCTGGTCTCGTGTTGCACGTGCGGCTGGACTTTCAAATTGTCGTCCAACTTATTTTTAGAGGCGACCCGCTCGTAGTTGCTCTGCATGGGTGTGTGTGTGTTGTGTGCTACCGAATTTTTAGCATTTCCTTCAAATTCTTTTAAAAATAAACAAGACCCAAAGAGAGGAAGGAGCAAACTACCTTCAATGTTTGCAAAATAAAAATATATACATGCGTACATACATACATATGTATATGTAAATATGTACATCACTACATATGCTAAAATAAAACAAAACAAAATATTTTCGTTTTTATTAATTTGTTCTTCCCAATTTTCTTCCGTTGCGTTTGCTCTGATATTGCTATCTCTTGTCTTTTGCAGTTCAACACATTTGAAAACGAAAAAAAAAGCAGACTATATCGAATTTTGAAATACCCTAACAAAAGTTTTGTTTTCATGGCATCAGCATTTATGTATTTAACATATTCAATATAAGAATATGTTCGTAAATGATGTTATTTGAATGAAAATTTGTATATTTATTATATTATGTTGTTAAGAATAATCTAGAAATTTTGAATAATCAAAACATGTTACAAAACTACTAATAAATTCATGCAACTATGCGAACGTAGAAACAGAGAGACAGATAGGAAATAAAGAAAAGCACAAACACAGTAACATCTTAATGCAACTGTGCAAGTGTAAAGGCGCAAAGCAGAAAGCAGAAACAAGAAGAGGCAGGCGAGTAAAAATAGAAAACAATGACAGCATAATTTGCCGTTTCTTAAACATTGGCCGTTGTTTATTTTGTTTCGTTGGATGTGTGACTAAGCCAAACACAAAAGCAAACAGATGCGTTTGTATTTTTATTTCGGAAATTTAATTTCGCTTTGTTCTGGTATTTCGTTTTTGTCTTGCTATTATTTATCGTAGTGCATGTTTAATTTAAAACATCAATGGCATTTCCCCAATTCAGTTTTTCTAATGTTGGCGTTTTCCTAGGGCACTCTAAGAAAACCAATTTGCCACATTTTCATTTAATGCTTCGGCCACTGGCTTACTCACGTTTCCCACCAAGTCATTTGACCCATTAATTGGATTAGAATAACATGTTGTTGCTGTTGTTTTCTGTTTTTGTTTTTGTTTTTTTTTTTTTTTTCGATTCTGCACGTTGTTTGGTTAGTGCTCATCTTAGGGCGCATGCCTCAAAACAACTTGTTGCATATTTACAGCTGTCTGCGTTAAAATAGGACTACATTAACAAATGCAAGACGGTATATTTACTTACAATTATGAAAAGTAATATTGTAATTAAAATCAATACAATTTTGAATAGAAATCGTTGAAATGTATATTATCGTATATAATAATATTTGCATATAGGTATGCCCAAATGCTCTTATTTAAATGAACAGCACAAACACATAAAGTAATTGCAAAAATAACGGCAATTATTTGCTTGCTATTTCTCATTCACATAGCAATTTTTGAGAAATACAAGGATGTAATCGATTAAAAGAGAAGAAGCAGAGTTTCACAGAGAGAGGCTAGACGACGCATTTCTATTTTAATGAACGCAACTGTATGTGCATATGCATATCTTTTTGCATTTGCACTGTAACATATGCTTAGGTCACGTATACTATAATGTGTAAGCTCTGTGTAAATGCGACTCAATATATCTGAATATTTCTATTTGCATATTTATTTATTTAAAAAACTTGCACTTTAATACAAATTTGATATTTGCTGGTACACAACAAATTTTCCACTCTGACAAATTTACCTAATAAAAGTGTGATAAATATGTAATTGTTAATTGAAACACTTTACATGGATATACGGAATACACAAATATTATTAATTAAACTTTTATATATTTAATTAGGGGAAATTGTTATTCACATTTCTTGAGTTAAGAACGTGTTATCAATAAAAAATATGAGCCTTTAACGCTAAATAGACGCTAGACACACCTCTAAACGTACAAAGTTTTGATTTAGTAGGTATTTTTTATGTTTTTTAAATTTGCACAGCCATAGTAAATATATGTACGTAAGCGTAATGTCTAATGTAAACAAACGACAGGTTCATTTTCACAATTAATTTGTTCACAAAAATCTGGTAAAAAAAAAAAATAAATAAATAAATCTAGCCGGTGCGACATTTAACTGATAAGTGCAAGTAGTCAGAGAGAGAAAACCAATGTGTGTGAGTGAGAGAGAAGGAGATAGAGATGAGGATAGACTGAGTACAGAGAGGAAAAGTGAGACAGAGGGAAGAGGACAGGTGTTAATTGCTAGACAAATTGAAAAACACGAAATTCGCTCATGTGCTAAGGCCTAAAGTAACCAAGTTTTAAGCAAATATCCATTATACAATAGGTCTCCGTGTGTGTGTGCATGTGTAAGCGAGCGTGCTTTAAAATATATGTATGTTAATAGATTCAATTATTTTGTTTTTTATTTTTTATTTACAGCAGGCAAACTGTAACACCAAAACCAAATAACATAGACATTTAAATGGGTCGTTGGGGTCGCCAGAGTCCGGTGCTGGACCCACCTGATCCACAGCCGCCACCTATACCACCGCGCACATTTATGCGTCAATCGAGCATAACAAAAATCGGAAATATGCTTAACACGGCCATCAATATAAATGGAGCGAAGAAGCCGCAAAGTGAGTATATAGTTCTTAATTTTTAAGTTTACATGTTTCGCGCCATGTTGTGTAACGAAATAGGCGACAACCCAGACAGCTGTAGGCTTTCGTATTTTACAGCACTAAAAATATGCGCTGTGCAACACTGTATGGAATGCGCAACGCCGTTCGGTTGCGGCAGTTTAAGTGGCTCGAAACTGCTGTTATAAAGTGCGAAATTTGCAATACATTTTGTACTTCCATTTTACATTGAAATTTTCATAACAAATTAGTCATAAATTAAGCTAAAACTGTTAACGGCGCGTTGAAGTGTTATTGCCGCATTGAAATTGTATAATTGCAATGATGTACATAGTTTAAAAGTGCGTAAATTCTGGCTGCCGCTGCCGCATTTGCAAAAAAAAAAAAAAAAAAAGACGACGCAACGCAACGACGACGGCGGCGACGAAGCAGTGCATCAAAAGAGGCGGCAAAAAGTGGAAGAAGAAGCAGTTGAACAAAGCAGCATTAGAATCTCGGTTTTTTTTTCCTCATTGTATTTGCCATATTTGTCATGCGAGTTCAACCGCGCGTACAATACTAAGGTGATAAACTTTGTCGTGACGCGTTAGCCTGTGCAGTGTTTAGCCAAAACAAATATATAAAAATAAAGTAAAAAATATAGAATTAAGTACGAGGCGCATTTTAATCGAATATTGATTGTGCGTCGTCGCCAGCGTGCGACGCCGTTGCCACTGTCAGCGCGCTTTTATGAAAACGCCTGCAAGCTGCAACTGAATGTCAAAATAAATATGAGTATGAAATTCGTGCTGTAAGATAAAGTGCTAAACAAGGAATATATATTTTGAAGGTTAGATTGTAAAGAAATACATGTGTATGTACATATGTATATGCATACATACGTGCAAAGAAATTGCGATAAAACAAGGCGCAAGGCGTAAGGCGTTAGGCAAACGTAAAACGAAGACGTCGACACGGCGATTTGTTGTTGGTGGTGTTTGTTTTGTGCCACAAAATAAATAATATTAATCGCATTGTTTAGCAAATATGCGGGCGCGTTAATATCGTTTTACAGTGCCTCGTTTATCACTTGGAGTCCTCTACGCTCCACTCCCGCGAATCGTCTAGAAATAGTGCAAAGTAATTTTCGAGATAACTTTTGGCACAACCACCGGCTGCACGAATACATACACACATACATACGCAGTTACTGCTGCTGCCGCTGGCGCTGCTGCTACTACTGCTCATCGTCGTCGTCGCTGCTGTTATTGCTATGTTGCTGTCGGCGTATGTACAAAAGAAATACTCCCCTACTTTGCAGTTTCTTCCCCACATGTCGTCGACGTCACTGTCGTCACCAGTAATACGTATACGTGCTTAAGTTGTGCTGAGCAGCAACAGCGACAGGAAAAACAGAAAAAAACCAAAAAAGCCATAAACATACATATATATAAACCAAATAACAACAAAAGAGAAGAGAAGAAACAAAAGCTACGAAGAGTTAAGCACTTTGGTTTTGTCTTTTGCTTTTGCTTTTGGTTGTGTTCGTCGTTTCTCTTTTGTATGCCAAGCTCAACTCCTTCGACGTAAGAAAACGCGCTCAACACTCCTCCACAACAATAAGAACAACAAACACAGCAACAACAATAAAAGCACGTTTCTCAACACATGCACATTAAAAACACTAGATTTCTGAGAGCGTTTCCAGTGAAAAAAGTGAGCTAGTGAGAGAGAAAGAGAGGGTGAGCGCGAAACGCAACTCCTTGGCCTTAATATTTAGTTGCTTTTGTTGTGTGGCCGTTCGTTTTGTTGTTGTTGTTGTTGCCTCTGAGTGTTGCCTCCTGGTAACTTGCGCGCGCCGTTCAACGAAAGCTGTACAACTGTCATGGCCGGTAAGTTGCTTTAATTTTGTTTCGCCTTTTTGTTGTCGCGGTACTTTCACACACACATGCACACTAATGAACATATTATTTTCCTCTCTCGCTCTGTGTATGTGTGTGTGCGTGCGTGTTTATCTCGCTTGGTTTATGACTTGATTTGAGTTTTGATTTTTGCATTAAATTTTTGCAACTAAACGTTTAAACAAATTGTACATGAAATAAACAAAGAAAAACCAAAATCAAAAATAAAATCAAATAGTAGCCGATCTAGTTTATTCGTACATAAACAACTCTGTCTATCTATTAGCTAGCATTGATCTTAGCAATTCAATGAGAATTGAAATTACGTCGCGCTATACATATATACATACATAAACAACACTAAACCAGATGTAAGCGCATATGTATATATATATATATGTTTGTGTGTGTGTGTGTGGGATATTTGATCACTGAGAAGATTATTGGAATTTGTTTATAATGCAATTTGAGCAATTTGCCAAAGCCACCTTGACAATGTGTAGGTAATTATACCTGTGCAGCAGCCCTTTTCTATCAGCCAAGACGCTGTTCAATTGCATTTGCATTTGCATTATTTAAGAACCCAAACACTTTAATTAAATCATAAGCAATTGCGCAAACACAGACTTTGCAGGCATGGTCAACAGATAGATATACATATGTATGTATGTATATGAACACACAGATATTCATATATATATATATTTACATTGGCTCGTGTCTCGTTTCTGTTATTACACCAAGTCTGTATACATTTGTATCTCTATGGGGGAATCATTTCGTTTGCTATCTGTGTGCCTCCCTCTTACATGATTAGTCATATAATCTGTTTCAAATTTACTCGTTCTTGTTAAATTCAAATGGGCAATACAATATATATTTACATATTCTGTGTTTATTTATTACAAAGTCACATGCATTCATTCATTTATTTATGTTTGCACTATCAGGGGTCTGGGCTAAAAATCGATGTTAATTATTAATAATTTAGTTTATCGCTCATCATTAGATCATTGTTGTCGAGCTCTGCAAATAGTTGGTCGAATGGGCTTTGTTCCTAATGTGTTTAATTGCGCATTCAGCAAGTTACAAATTACTCGCTCGTCATCTTAAGAAGTTCGAGCGAGTTTGCTTATCGTCCAATGGATTTCGTGCACACCTACAACTGAATGCATACACATACACGCATATATATATTTATATATATATATATTCCATTTCCTTACACCCCATCGTCGCTCTGCATTCTATCTATCGAGATAGAGGCAGAGGCAGCCAATCAGGCAAAGGCGCTCGCTTCGAGGTCTCTTGTTCCAGAAGCACGAGTGGTACGAGGTGGCTGTCGCCACATTGCGTGGCTGCGTTAAATGATTTAGTCAATATTTAACTAACATTTAGATGTTATATCTATTATACAACACATATTTTCTCTATGTATATATAGGAATGAGTTCGATGAGGCGAGCGAGACCAAAAAATCTGTTTCAAATTGTGTTCGAGTTTAGGCGTAATTAGACCATTAGATATAATCGAAATCATTAAGCTAGATTAAATCCCATTTGAAAGCATGGCGGTTGGCAATAAAAAAGTGTACGGTAAAACTAGCCTAAGGCGGATACAAATTCACTTAGCATACAAAATTTTTAAAGGTGTTATATTATTTTCAATTTCAACAATTTCTTTAATCAAAGAATCAAAATTGCATGACAAATGTAATCTAATTTTTATGAATCTAAAAACAATAAAGTCTGGTTTATCGAGTCTATACTATTTATGTACTCATACATATAAACAGATTTTATTGTCTCATTCGTATTCTCAGATTTTCCCCAACAAACCATTTTGTTGTATGAATGTGTGTTCAAGTCTACCCAACTCAAATAAAGTCTTAACTTTATCTAGTCGAATAACTGATAAACATTATTTTTTGAGGTCAAGCACTGTTATCTACGTCAATAGGTCCAGGTTCTTTGCATAAGAAGCATCCAAACCTAACAAAGCATCATTTAACTTGAGATATTTGTTTAATTACTTATTTATGGTTAAACTCTCAGTTAATAAATTGTTGCCTAACTTTGTTGGCCTGTGCTATTGGCAAAAACTGGGAAATTGCTCGGTTTGAGTCTCGCCTTGACCCGGAAAACGCGACGCTGCCACTTTGGGTGTGTTTCGTGGTGCCATGTTTTAGTTAGCTGTTGTCTGTCGCGGCTGTCTCACAGAAATGCGAACAATATATTGTGCGCATTCTATTTGTGCTCGAACATATCTTGAGCATTTTCCTTTCAAACCAAAATCAAAAAGAAATAAGTTCAATGACTGCCAAACTGTGTGACTGGGTCGCTGGGTGGTTGCGTGGGTTTGGGTTTGGGTCCGGGTCTGGGTCCGGGTCTGGGCGTGGATGTTTGTTCGTTTTGGCAACGTAATCATTACGAATGTAAAAGTTTATCATATCCATTTCGGCTAAAAATAGACAGTCGGCCGTTTAATTGCCTGACCGCCCAACTGACTGAGTGACTGAATGACTGACTGATCCTATTATTGTCATCAGTGGTGCACAGCGCGGGCTCGTCAATCATATCGTGACGTCGCCTGTGGCTCTTTGAACAATCGCGTAATAGGCACACAATATGAGCTAGATAGGCGGACAGCATGTTCAAAGCAGACAATCACTGGACAGGACAGCCAACAGAACCTATCGAAAGAGTAGCAGTGGGGCATGCACGACTTCCATATATCCACTAGTATATTTGTGTGTGCTATACATATGATATGATTTTTAATATTCTCTAATGTGTTAGATAGGAAATACATTGATCGTAGTAGTAGAGTAATGTATTTATATGTTTTGCTAGGAATAGGATATTTTCTATATTTATCTTTATTCATGTAAAATTAATTTGCTTATAAGAGATTAGAATCAATATAAAATTGAACACTGCCAACTGGGGCCTTCAGCTTATTCATGTAAATTAATTATTCAAAATGAAAATATGTAATCTTAAAATCTTACAATAATTGTCAAACATGGGACTATACTATACTCCACTGCCCGCTCTTATTGTATATATATAAATATGTTCTATTCTATTTGGCTGGAATTACTAAGAGCCAAAGGTATTCACGTGACATTTCAATGTACATGCAAAATGTGAAATTAAAGTTCGATGTTGCCATGCATTGAAATTGTAAACAATGCTCAGAACAGAAACAGGACGAGTATATGTAGATATATATAACAAAAAAAGAAAAAGAGCCAAAAACATTTGCGAAATGAAAACCTTTTGCACAACGTTTACACAACGACGTGCAGTAAGCGCAAAAAGTGGCTGCTAAATATTACAGAAGAGGAGAGACGGCACAGGGGGATATCGCTGGGTGCACGAATAAGCCACATATATCCATCCAGCAGCAGCAGTAGCGGCAATAGCAAGGCTTAAAGCAATTTAAAGCCAAAAGCTGAATGCGGACAGTGGCTGGAAATGGCGTCATTAGTAAATATTTGAGCAGGGCAGGCTGTGGCAGGGTAGGCAGGGAAGCAAGGCAGCAGGACATACGCAGCAGACGTCATCGTTGTCCTCTGGCAGCTACAGCTATTGATTGTGTCTGGGCGAGAGGGAAAATCAAATGTAACAAGCACTTATTTGGTCCTTTGAGTTGAGCAATCTGATGGGATGTGATGGGAAATTGTGAAATTGAATATTTCTTTTTAATTTTTGAACATCTCTCGTCTCTTTTCATTTTTTGGTTGGGTCGACAGGTAATGGAGAGGCGTCCTGGTGCTTCTCACAGATCAAGGGCGCCCTAGACGATGATGTCACCGATGCGGATATCATATCCTGCGTGGAATTCAATCACGATGGCGAACTGCTGGCCACGGGCGATAAAGGCGGTCGCGTCGTCATCTTTCAGGTAAATATTAATTCAATTATCAATTGTTGCTCATTCAATTAATCATCTACCTTCGCTTGCAGCGTGATCCCGCCTCAAAAACTGCTAATCCGCGACGCGGTGAATATAATGTCTATTCGACATTCCAATCGCACGAGCCTGAATTTGATTATCTTAAATCGCTGGAAATCGAGGAGAAAATCAATAAGATACGATGGCTCCATCAAAAGAATCCCGTGCACTTTCTGCTCTCCACCAATGACAAAACGGTGAAGTTGTGGAAGGTCAGTGAGCGCGACAAGTCATTCGAGGGCTACAACACAAAAGAGGAGAACGGTCTGATAAGAGATCCACAAAATGTAACCGCCTTACGAGTTCCTTCTGTGAAGCAAGTACCGCTTATGGTGGAGGCCTCGCCACGTCGCACCTTTGCCAATGCACACACCTATCACATCAATTCAATTAGCGTTAATTCTGATCAAGAGACTTTCCTATCGGCCGACGATTTGCGCATTAACCTCTGGCATCTGGAGGTGGTCAATCAGAGTTACAATATTGTTGACATCAAGCCAACCAACATGGAGGAGCTAACGGAAGTGATCACCGCAGCGGAATTCCATCCGACCGAATGCAATGTGTTTGTCTACTCCAGCTCCAAGGGCACAATACGACTATGTGATATGCGATCGGCGGCGCTATGCGATCGCCATAGCAAACAGTTTGAGGAGCCCGAAAATCCAACGAATCGCAGTTTCTTCAGCGAGATAATCAGCTCTATAAGTGACGTCAAATTGAGCAATTCAGGCCGCTACATGATCTCCAGAGACTACTTGAGCATCAAGGTGTGGGACTTGCACATGGAAACGAAACCAATTGAAACCTATCCGGTTAGTAGTCATCAGGCTATACTTCTCGCTCCGGTCAAATTCGAATCTAAATATATATATATACTCATTGCAGGTACATGAATATCTTCGGGCCAAGCTGTGCTCGTTGTATGAGAATGACTGCATCTTTGACAAGTTCGAGTGCTGTTGGAATGGCAAGGATACCTCAATAATGACCGGCAGTTACAATAACTTTTTCCGTGTATTTGATCGCAACTCGAAAAAGGATGTTACACTGGAGGCATCCAGGGACATTATAAAGCCCAAGACGGTGCTAAAGCCACGCAAAGTTTGCACTGGCGGCAAACGAAAGAAAGACGAAATCAGCGTCGATTGTCTGGACTTCAACAAGAAAATCTTGCACACCGCCTGGCATCCCGAGGAGAATATCATCGCAGTGGCCGCGACTAATAATTTGTTCATATTTCAGGATAAATTTTAGCTAAAACTTAATTCGCAAACATTGTACACATCCACGCCAACTACTAGGGCCTCGGCACAGCCTTGGCAACAGTGGCAACAGTTGCCTCATTTAAATGTTAATTCGATTGATTTGTTTCCAAAGCTCTGTCAAATTACCCATAAATTGTTTATCTAACGTTTAATCAGGACCTTATACATAAACACACACGCATACACATCCAGGCACACACCCAATACACACATGTTCACACTCAAATACACTCACATACTCATACACATAAATGCCATAGCAAAAGCTTTGTAACATTTTTCCTTAGTGATACAAGATAAATAAAAATTTTTATACATAGATAACATAAACAAACAAGAAAAATGAAGGAAACATAATGAAGCAGACATTTAGTTTTCATTGTAGCGTAATCAAAGAAACAATCGAATTATCCAACGTAGTGCCCCAAGATTTTTTATATGTATACATAATTACGCGCCCAAGTATTTCTAATGAACAACATAAAAATAAACAGAAATAATAATATATTATAATAAAGAATCACAAAATGCATATTGTCATACATTAGAAACCAGGTCCATTCGTTTTATGTTCGCTTGTTAAGTTTAAAAAAGAAAACAAAAAAAGATAAAAACGAAACAATATCGGAAATCATATAAATGAGTAATGTTTTAAGCAAATGTTGTGCGCTTTATTTTGTTGTATATTTCTACTTTCGTTTTCAATCAAGTTCATTCCATGCTGTTAAAAACGAAAAAAAAAACATAAATAGCTAGCACCTCTAATATATAATTCTAAATCTCAATCCAGAAAACAACTCGAGCGCATGCCTTTTCCTCAACCTTTATCCTTATCTGTTATCACTCATGAGAATCACGCAAATATAAATAAAAATGCTCATTAAAAAAAAACCAAAAAAAAAAAGAAAAAAAAAATCTAAATTTAATCTATTAAAGTAAAAGAGAAAATGTAAAACAAATTAAAATAAAATAAAATAAAATAAAACTTAAATCAGCTGCCTCACATAGCAGATTGTTGAGAAAGCTTCAAAATCACAACCTAAGTTAAACATTTAATTAGTGTTCTCAATTTCTATAATTTAATATCCTGCTAAAACCCCATTTATTTTTATACACTACGTTTTAAGCTAAGTATTGCTATTTTTATTTTTAGTTACACTTTGCGTGCATGCGTCCAAACTTACAAACCTACATACCTTCATACATGAATAGCTCACACCATTTCGACTTGGTTACTTTTATTTTCATAATCCTGAAGTCATATGTTTTATTCGACTAGTTCACCGTCCCGTCATGCACAATCGGTCGACTTTCTTAGGGTATTTATAAAGAGAAAAAGTAAAGAATATATACAAGATATATAAATATTTACATACATATATGTATATATATTTATATATATGTGAATGAAATGGCAGGCATTGAAAGCGAGTTCAAAAGTGGAATGTAAACGCATAAATGATAACAAAAACAAAATGTGCTTCTTATGAAATAAATTATGTATTAAATAATATGTATTTTCAATGAACTAGTTATACAGTAATAGAGTGCAGGAAGAATAACAGTTGCATATATATAAATAAATAAGCATTAAGCCCAAAATAATGGGAAAAAAAAAAGTGAAAAATAATTTGTTTGTAATAAACCGTGTGAATTCGTTTAAAACTTAAGCAAAAATTCTATTTTTAATACTTAAAATGTACATTTTGTTTCAGACAAATGCAACACTTACACACACATACATACAAAATATGAAAACAATTTCTTCAGAAATATGAAATGATTTGATTTGCAACAATTGCGGCCTATTTTGATGTTAGGCAATGGACATTTTTTTAAACATAAAATCTTAACACGCCTTTTTGTAAATAAAATCGCATACAATTTTTGCAATGAATACACAGAAAGTTACAAAACAATTATAATAATAATAATAAAAAAAAAAAAATCATAAAATGAACTAAAATCCATGTGCGGTTGCAGGTAAACAGAAAAACAAATATAAAAAGCGAAAAAATGCAATTGATTAGTTTTAAAAAAGATTTATTGAATTGCTACAAGAATGGTAAATCAAATAAAAGCAAACGTACGAAGTTTAGTTTTGCAAGCAAAGAAATACGATTTCTATACGGTTGTTTTACTATGGAATATGGGGTAAGACGATTTAATTAACTTCAAAATTAAATTACAAATGCAAGTGTGTACACACTGTCGATCTGCAGAGTTCTTCTTTGAAGAGCTTTCCAAACATATCTAAGCTTTTTTAAGCATTGACTCGTTTGGAAACACTCATTTCTCACCTCGCATTTTCCATATAGCGCTAACAATAGAAACCGTTACACGCATAGTTTGCCTATATTGTAATGCAGAGCATGCGCAGCCCATAAGAGAGGAACATGCAAAGAGCTTTGCGCGCAGACGAACTCAAAAAGAAATTAAAATTTAACGGCCTCTCAACTCAGTTGATCGTGAGCAGCTCGAGCGTGCGGTTGGTTTTGTGGCTCGCTGCAGGTTTGTTTTTGGATCTGCGACTTAAACCAGTTTTCGACTATTTCAATAATAACAAAACAAGCAAAACGCATGCGAATGACGAAACGACCTTAAGAAAAAAAGAAAGAAATCCGCGATAACAATTACAAGCTAAGAATTCGTTACGGAAGCAAGAAAAGTGACGCAAATGTAAAGTCCAAATAACAACCAACAATAAAAAATATTTGATCAAAATGGTAGTGCGTGCATTTAATTAATTTTGAAATAATTAGAGTGTGAAAAGTAGCTAAAAATAAAACTAAACGAAGCTACGATTTGCAAAATATCTACGTGGATAATTGACTGTGGAGAGAGTTAAAAGAGTTCGAAAGAGTGGGAGAGAGAGAGAGGGAGTGCAACGCAAACGTGCGCAATGACATTGACAAGACATGAAGGCGTTCTTTGTCACTGCTGCAACTGCGCTGTCGCTGTAGCAGTTCCTGTTAGTGCTCCTACAGGCCGTAAGCTAGCAGCCTTGCAATCGCGACGCAGACTACGACAGCAGCTATTATTAGCGTTGGTGGCGCTTTTCCTCTTTGGCTTCAATACAGCTGCAAGTAAGTACTGTGTGGATGAAAGTATGTTTGTGTGTGTGCATGTGTGTAATGCAAGCAAAAGAAAGAGAAACTTAAATGACTGTTACGTTAAAAAAAAAAAAACAGCTAAGAAATACAAAAATAACAACAGCGCGAAAACAAATTCACTTTCGTGAGAAACTAGCGAAACTGGTCTATGTGTGTCCACTGGGAACTTCGCTGCTTACTGTCGTTTCTGCTGCTGCTGTTGCTACTGCTGTTACTGCTGTTACTGCTGCTGTTACTGTTGCTGACTGCTTGCCGGTTTAACGGAACTGGGAACGCAGAGACAAAAGTTTTTGTCTCTCTGCTCTAGTGGCAGTAAATTAAATGAGTGAATAACTGAGGCATTAGTCAGCAACGTTTTATAAATTTGGGTTTTCTTTAAGACTTGTCAAGGTGTTTATTAACTAATGTATTTGTTTTTATTATTTTTCGATTTTTTTTTTTTTTTTTTTTTTTTTGAATAAATCAACAGATTATGAGAAAAATATTAAATAAATATGACATTTTTGTTTTACAGCTGAAGGCGAAGATGAAGATGGTCCGTATCGGGGCAAATATTTGGGCAAACTCAATTCGTATCATCATCAGGTGTCCGGTGATGTGTACGCTGTGAATGAGTATACGTTTTTGATAGTGGGCTTTAATTACGATGGCAACGGTGCGGATACGTTCTTTTGGTCCGGCGCCAGCAATCGACCAGGTCCGCAAGGTTTCATAGTGCCAGACGAGTACGGAAAGTGAGTAAACAAGAGTAAATGTAATAACTATTAGATATGAAAATTAAACAAGTCTCTCTTTATTTTGATCAACCGCAGAACGAACATTTTGGATCGTTATCATAACAAGGACTTTACGCTAACGCTGCCCGATCGTAAGAAGATGACTGAGATCAAGTGGCTGGCGGTCTACGATCTGAACAATCAGAACAACTTTGGTGACGTTTATATACCCGAGGAGTTCGAGCCGCCGCGCACTCAAGTTGGCGGCACCTTCTCCAAGCGCAACCACAATGTGAGCAGCAGCACCATCGAGATCTTGGACTCAAAGACCATTAGGATTAAGGACTTTACGTACGATGGGCGTGGCAAGCGTACGTTCTTCTGGACAGGCGTGGGTGCTCAGCCGTCGAGTCGGGGCAGCAAAATTCCGGACGAGCGGGGCTAGTGAGTCTTACATAGGTCTATTGGATTCGATGACAGCATTCATGATTTTCTCTTTTCCATTCCAGCCTCGATCCCATACGCAGCTACAATAAGGAAACCATTGTGTTGGAATTGCCTGGCGACAAGACGATCTTCGACATCGATTGGATTAGCATCTACGATGTGGCCGACAAGGAGAACTATGGCCATGTGCTTATACCGGACGGGCTGAATGTGCCGCCATCTCTGGTGAAGATTACGCCGTATGAGTTCTCGCTGCCCAATTGCCGGCAGCTACACAAGGATCTGCAGGTGTCGTGGGAGGTGTTCGGACCGCAGATCACGTTCCAGCTGTCCGGTCAGGTGGCGAAAACGGATTACATGTCCTTTGGCATCTCAGGCTCCGATACAGCCAGTCAAATGATTGGTGCCGATGTCGTCGTGGCTTATATAGACGACATCAGGGGCTACACGGTTGACTACAATATCACCTCGCTGGCTCCATGCGTGCAGGTGCTGGGTCAGAATAAGGGCGTGTGTCGAGATGATGTCGTAGGTGGCTTGGACAGCTTTCAGCTGAACACATACGCCCGCAAGGATGGCATCAATACAATCAGCTTCAGACGCACGCTCAAATCATGTATGTGGCTCATTCATCAATATAGATTTGAATTCACGAATTCCCCTCTTTGCAGCCGATGATGGGGACAAGGAAATCTTTCTGGATCGCAGCAATTATGTGGTTTGGGCATTTGGTCAGCTGGACTCCAACAATGAGCCAGCGTTTCACACATACTATCCCAAGAGTGATATAATCATCGACTTTAACACTACGGAGCCTGTGAACGATTGCTTCAGCTTTACGAAACGTGCGGAAACTCCAGTGCAAATCTGGGAGCGCGCTCGAATTACGGATGCGTAAGCAAACATGCTTGCAACCGTGCCTCAACTATATATATTAATATTTATTTCCTATTTCATAGAACCGTGCGGACTTTTAATGCTTATCTGGGCCCCTCGGGCGGTCTGCGTGGCTATCAGGGCATCACGGGCCATGTGTCAAGCGGCTTGGCCTGGTACATCAATGGCTATATGATACCGGAACTGTATCTGAAGCGGGGCTTGACGTACACCTTTAAGGTGCGCGGCGGCAACAATCCGCATTCGCCGGAGCACTACCATCCACTGGTCATAACGGATGATCCGCAAGGCGGCTACGATCGACTGTCGGATGCCAAACAGAGCGAAATTCGCGTTCTTGCTGGCGTAGAGTTTACGCGTCGTGGTCGACCCAAGCCCACAGCTGCGGGTCCGCTCTGCTTGTCCCGCTATCCGGATCACTACGACCGTCGCTTGGATGACAATTTCCCTACATTCAAGAAATTCAATCGCAGCTTGATCAATATCTGCAGCGACGAGCCGCCGGCGCTGCTTGAGATTACGCCGAATATCACGTGGCCCGACACAGTATACTATAATTCCTTTACGCACGGCAACATGGGCTGGAAGATCCACATTGTGGACAGCTATACGAAGTTGCGCAACGCTGGCCATTCCCTGGCCACGGCGTGGCTGACGACGCTCTCGGCTCTGCTGATAGTGTTGGCACTGTAAGTGTTGACTGCCTTCCTTGACAGTTTCTGTCGCCCCAAAGGATACTCTTTTTTATGTTTTAATTTTAATATAAGTCAATCAGTCACAATTTGCATATATATGTATATGTGTGTATTTATGTATGTTTGCATGTATTATACCTGCCCATTTAAGCATAAGTATTGTAATTTATAACTCGTTAATAAAGGCAGAGTTTCACATAAGACAGAAGCATTTTGTCCTGATTGTTAATACCTTAATATAGCTAATATACGTATGTATGTATGTGAACAATATCTGTATTATTTAATTCAAGATAGGCCATTTGGAGGTGATTCATTTGTTTGACTGTAAACTGTAAACTATGCATTTATTGATTAGATTCGATTTCAATTATGCGCATATATAGTCTTTATGTGTGTATATATACTTTCTTCTGTAGTTGCAACTGTTGCTATCATCAGTTAAATAGACTTATTAATTAAAATGAATTGATGTGAGCTTTCTAATCAATTACCTACTCGTTTTTGTTGTTGTTCTTTTTAAGGTGCATAATAGATAGGCAACGTTTTTAAAGCAGTTATAAATGATTAAAGCCAACTAGTGTGATGAGTTGCCCATTTTGGCCCACTAACATTTTACAATATTGCAATTGGAGTTTAATTTCAGTTTGTTAACAAGTGATAAATTAGTTATTCTAATCGTATGTAATATATAATATGTTGTATATATATATGGTATAATATATATATATGTTATATATGTATGTATATTTTTCAGGCATATATCTGAGTTTAGATAACGTGTAAAGTTTATTGTTATGAACTAGTTGAACAGCTGCTTAGAACATTTGCTTGTCGTTTGCTTTTCTCTCTGTTAAGTTTGTTTGTAAGTTTACTAAAATATTACTGATTTAGCTCCTTTTCCTATACAGATTTAATATCACGTTGATCGCTTACACTTTTTGCTTTTTTTACGAGTACTCTTTCATTTATATTCATATCTATATGTGTACGTTTTTGCGTGCATCATATTTGAATTTTTAACTGCTTTTAGCCGAATAAGATAACAATGGTAGAGATAGTTTGTTATATATAGAATAGATAGACAATAAGTAACAGAGAATACACTGGTAAAATTTAGATATGGCCAAATTAAATACACATATTTTTTTTAACAATTTTAACAGAGACATGTATTCCAAAGAGTCCTGTTCACGGTGCACGGTTCACGGTTCATGGTTATGCACAAATTGCTCAAGCTGTTTATGCAACTGGTCCTTGTAGCGAATCTTATGCTTGCTGAGGACCGTCGCGCATAGGCACTGCAGCGAGATGTAGTTGAGCAACGGTATGGTGTTGGTGGGATTGGATGCTATGGAATCGTAAGGTCGCTTCTCCGCTCGATTCGGTTGATCAATGTCCGCTCCACACTTAAGTAGCAGATGCACAATCTGAAATATATAATTATTTAAACAAATTCCATATGAATGCAAGTTCTTATCTTACCTCATTGTCGTAATTGTAAGGTTGGCAGGCTACATGTAGGGGCGTTGATTTGGCCTCGTTTTTCGTATTCACATCAATCCCACACTCGATGAGCAATTTAATAACCTCCGCATTGGGGAACACAGTCTTCTGCAAGCAACAAAATTATGTGATTAATAATAGGAAAACATTGTGTAAATACGATAAACCCACATCGGCAAAATTATCTTCGGTGATGTAGCCGCTTTTAATAACATTTAGCCGAGAGGCGCCCAAGTGGAGCAAGGTGTCTGCAGTGCTGGCGCTTCGCACGTTGCCAACAACAACTGTTTCGTGAACAGCATGGTATATTAGCTTATGCTGAGCCTCTGTGTGGACGGTATTTATCAGCAAATAGATGAGATGTGCTAGGCAACGCAATACTCGGTCATAGTTCTCCTGCTGGCGTCGAAAGACGGGTCGCACTTGCAGCAGGTCCTTGACCTCGACAGCGCTTTCAGCGAGCGTGCGAAATACCCCCAATACATCGTCAAATCTTGGGAGTAAATTATCCTGATGCATAAAACGAGCTCGGGCATCGCTGCGTATGTGACTGGAGTTGCGTACATGGAGATCTAGCATTAGACGCACCAATGCCTGAGCAGCGAAACATGTCTCGAAATGCAATATGGACCAATTGGATACGCGCACCTCGAGCAAAAACCGCCACAGATCGATACAGCGCTGGAGCTGCAGAGAGTCCGCATATGAAGCACCCCTGAATGTTAAACGGAACAACATGTCCTTGTGGGTCAGGCCCAAGACCCGTTCACAAATCAATAGACTTTGCGTCCGCATTGCATCCATGTCCGTGGCAATGTTATCAAGCTCCTCTAGAGTTGCAAACTCCACGGCATTCTCATAAGCATTTCGCAGTGGTACCTTTGGTTTCTTCTCAATGTAAGGCGTATAGGCGGCGCGTATGTGATGGGCCATGCGCCAGTGTAGGATGCAGACGCGCGATTCATTATGCTCATCTAGAAATGTGGAGCCCATCAATTCGTGCGCCTCGGCAATGCGTTCCACTGAATAGTTCAATTCCTTTTTCAAATAGTCGAATATCTGATGAGCACCCTTAAGGCAAGCAGTTCGCAGCGCATCGTCACCATATCGACTCTTTGCAAATGGATCGGCTCCTTGCTCTATTAGCATTCTGGTGGTGTCGAGCCGGTGCTCCTGTATGGCATAGTGTAGTGCCGTTTTGTCCTGTATGTCGCGAGCATTGATGTCGGCCCCTTTGCGCACCAGATACAGGCAAAGCTGCACTGACTGCACCGAGTTGATAAGGCAGGTGCCGCCATTGATGTTTGGCTTTTTGATATCAGCACCGTTTTCCACCAGAAATTTAACTATACATCGGTAACAATGTGAATAAATAAGCCATGGTTTATTATATAAATATATTAATCAGACATACCAATATCCGTGTGAGTCATGTAACAAGCACTACGAACGGGCGTGGAACCCGAATCCGATATGGCATTGATGTCACATCCGATTCGTACCAGATACTTCACCATGGACAGTTTGCCGGATACGACAGCCGCCCAAAGGGGTGTCACATGGTGGAAGCTATTATCCTCAGGCACTTCATAGTGTCCACGCTGCTCAATGTCCGCCTCGCAAATGGTTATGAGATACTCTGCAATTACTACTGCGCCACGTTTGCAGGCAATGAAAAGTGGCGCACAGCCATTGCGTTGCTTTCTAACCACTTCACGTCGGGACTCACGTGGATGCCTGCAATAAAGTAGGGAATCGCGATCATGATTATTATAAATCATTTGGACTGCTCGTCGCCTGCTGATAAGAGACGCCTGTCTCACGGCATAAACAAAACAAAGCAAAAACCACAGCAATGAAAATATTGATTATGTAGTAATTGGTCGCTCTTATCAATGGGCGAAAAAACGTACGACTAACTCGGTTAATTTTTGGTAGTGATTGCGTGTATACACGTATACCCATACACATATTCGTACGTATACATCTGCTATCACCCATACATACTTTTCGAGCTCGTGGCGTAAATGGCGCGGCAAGATGGAATCCTCATGGCTACGTTTACACTCCTCGATGAGCTCATGGTTAAGTTTTGTTATTTCCATTTTGGGGCTGCTCTGTTTGCGTTCGTTGGCCATGGGGCTGGAGTGCCCCTGGAGCTGATGACTGCCTTCAAGTCTGGAGTTCATTGCCAGTGCACAATTTCATTGCCAATTGTCGAATAGCGTACGCGTCCTTTGGTCGAAATTTAATTAGGTTGCGCTGTGTGTTCGTTCCAAGGCCTTTCAGTTTTTGCTCTATGGCCCAATCACTTTCTTTTTTTTTTCTTCCTTATCAATTTTGGATGTATGGAAACATAAAACAGGAGCGAGTTTTTGGATAACTGCAGTGCATAATATGTTGAGAATCTGGGTAAAACTTAATAACAAACAATAAACAGGTAACGTTTTCTTTGACTATTTTTATATTTTCATTTATTTAATGTTTATGTGTAGCAAAAAATACAACAACAAATGACAAAACAGAGTAAACAGCTGTCCCAGACTGCCAGTGTTGAGTAATACTGCTTGCACTGTAAAGCTTGCAAAATCGAATTTCAAAATTAAATATGGTTATTTCGCAAGTTGCATTCGTCGGCCGTTCGCGGATAGTCTCAAATCTACAAATTATGTTTTCTGCATTTGAAATCAAAGTTGGCATTGATTTTTTTGTTCTTTTTCGTAATAATGTTACTTAGTTTCGACAGATAGGAAATGTCAGAATGCATCGCTTTGGTATTATCGCAAAATTAGTTTCGTAAAAATTTTAGTCCAATATGGGAAATTAATTTTTAATATATTCTAATTAATTTTAAATTGCTTATAACTTCTAATATGAAATATAAAACATATCTTAAAGTACCAAATGAGTAGAAAAAAAATATAACAACGCATTTATCAGACTATCGAAAATTCGATTATTTCCAAACATCGGTATATCAAAATCGCATACATTATTTCCCCTAAATATAACGTGCGGTTTTGCTTACTGTTTGATTTGAAGATTTACATCGTTAACATTTGATTACGGTTGATTTTACAATATCTAGTAGCCCTAGGAATTAGTTATATTATTATGCTTTTAAAAAATATGCTACAAAATGTACATACATAGATAATTTGATTTACATACATAAATAAGAACAAGATGTTTCTCGAGACAAATAGTGTTTTTTATTGAAGTCATCTATAAAATAGTATACACAATTTTCAAAAATATAAAAGCAGAAACTTTGAATATATAATTTAGTCAATTTATAAGATATCCCAGGTCCACTCAATATAGCAGAGTCCAACATCACTTTGCTGATTGAAGTTGTTTAGATCGAAAGGTATCCCATTTTAGTTTATCTGCATATTGTAAACAAATTGAAAGCATTATTTAAGAAATAAAATCAGAAAAAAGTTTTAGCCCTAAATTATTTTTGAGATCAAAAAATCTTTATCTGCGGCCGATGAAATTTGACTCTGATATATTTTTATATATATACTTACTATTTAGTTAAATCTAAACATTAAATAGAAATGCATATGATTTTGTATATGTCATTGCAAATAGTACATAGTATGCCTTTGGCGGAAATTTTTTGAATAAGATTTACGTTACAATATATCCTATCGACCTACGAGTTACGATACTCAGTATTTTGACTCAATTTGGAACTGTTGGCATGCAGTTTTGAATTTTTGTTTGTTTACTCTTTATGTGCAATACTACAATGATTTAACGCAACTTATATTCTAAACGTTGTTTATCAATGTGTTAATTACATTTTATGTTGTATATTATAAATTTTAAATTGGGCGGATTAGGATTTGATTTTACACTAATTTCAATCACAAATCATATATAGTTACTTCCTACTCAAATTTGGAATATTGAAACTAATTCAAAACGTGAATATAACTGACTTAAAAATATCCTCATTTGTATATAACTTGGAATATCTTATTCAAAGTTCCATTTCCAGAATGTAAATTGTCTGACAGCGAACTGGAATTATTGTGCAAAAGGAACGTCTCTTATGTAGAAAAGAACAAGCTCATTTACTTGGTTCAGTGAACAACTCTTTTGTTCGCTCACTGATGAACTACCCAAATATACTCCACATGTGCAGCCAAAGTACAACAGCACCATAAAAGCTAAAAATTTGGAAGTTATTTACGTGAATATCCAAATAGGCTCTTACAAAAAAGAGCTGCTTTATGTTTATGGAGTGTCTGTCCAGTTCTTTGTCATTAAATTGTGTTTGTGTGCGTTTGTAAAGTTACGCGGTATTGTTGTGGTGTGCGTGTGTGAGAACATAGCAGCAAATACTAAATTGGTTTTTATATAAGTGCCGTTGTTGTCTTTTAACAATTTCCACGCAAGTATTTAGTAGTGGAACACACACACACACACACACACACACACACACATGCACAAAAATATATTGCGTTACTGTGTTACCAGCGCAACAAGGAGACTTCCATGACAACGACAAATAATTACAAGAGCAACAGCAGCAGCAGCAGCAGCAGCAGCAGCAGCGAAAACAAAAAGAGAAAACGATAAGGCGATAAAATAAATATGCATATGGGCAGACACAATTAAAAATACACCGAGAGCGGAGCGCCATCTACTCAAGGCAAAGCAGTTCCAGTTCCCCGCCCAAAGCCACGCACACAAGCACACATCCGCTCATATATATATATATAAAATATATATATTTTACATATATGTATGAGAGCATGTGTGTGTGTGTATGAGACACCTGCTGCTGCTGCTGCTTCTGCTGCCTGGGTCACTTGGCTATAAGAAGAACAACAAAAACTCTAAAGCGAACATCATCTCTTCATACATCAGCAGTATTGCTGCTGCTGCTTCAAGCTGCCCCGGTGACAACGGGCAACGAAGGGCAGACTCTGCCCTAGGTTGACGACGGCAGCGATACAAACGGAATAACAACAATAGGACCGGCAGCAGCCTCAACAATAACAACAGCAAAAATATGAATGCCAGCCTCATATATGAGATACTCATGTATTTGAACTCGTTCTATTTTGGCATGTACGCCGCCTTCGAGGTGGGCGTGGGCGTGCTAAAGGCAATCAATCTGAATTATGGTGAAAACGTTCTGTCACGTGAGGCAACGATTCTTCTATCGTTGTGCATCATCGAAACGCTGCGCATTGTCTTCGGCCGCAAAAGCAGCCTCAGCGATCGTGGTGAGTAATCCATTGGAGGTGGATGAGGTGAAATTTACCTTCCCTTTGGCACCCCACACACACACACATACACGCACACACACACACACACAAACACACGATGTAGACTTAAATACATGGACAATGGTGCTTTTATGTTTACTCCTCGCATTTGTTTACTTAATGAGCTGTGCAGTGCGAACAACTCAACAGTTGACTGAGGAACTGGTGCTGGCTGGAGGCTGTTAGTTGTTAACTATTAGCTGTTTGGGGGGTGTTAGCTGTGGCTGCTATGATGACATGCTCAAATTATTTGTAGCGGTCCTCATGGAGGCACGAGCGTCATCATTGTTTTATATTCTCACCCCTGTTGACTCTTATTTCCTTTCGCATCGCCTCAACCCCCAGAGCTCATAAATATGTTCACACTCAACGTGGCGTATGCGTAATTTTGTTCGTATCTATAGATACGAATGTATAACAACAAAGGGTTGCTCAATGACTTTGAAGTGTTTTCAAAATTTGGAATTATTTCTGTACGCAACTTGAATAAAATGTTCAATTTCACTTATAAAGTAAAATGGAGAGTCTGCATTTCAGTTCATTGAACTGATTTTTCAGGTCAGGAGAGTTTATAATTCTATGACGTTTTCGTGTCTCAAATAGTATTAAGATTTGACACATACAGCAAACAAATACTCTACGATTTTCGCAAAGAAATACTTATAAAAGACAAAGTTGTTTATATACTCTATATATTCGATTTCAATTTAAACACTTTTCCACACAATCTATTCACATTCTATTTTTATTCTTTTCCCATTCACAGGCTGGCAAGCAACCGCATCCGTAATATTAACACTGCCCAGTCTTGCTATTGTTATCTACTTGTGTTGTTTTCAAACTTATGTTCTCAAACTCGAAATTATTCTGAGTGCCTTAATGATCACCCTACAAGGTGCTGAGCTCGTTTACGCCAGCATATTCATTTGTACAATGTGTCGACCCGTGACATACACCTAGCAGTTGGTCAACGTTGCCACGTCGATGTCCATGGCCAAGCCAACGGCGGCATTGCTTGAACCTCGATTGGGACTGACAGCTGCTGCTGGGTATGGAGCAGTACGACGACGACAACGCATCATTTGGTATAGTTACGTCAGGCAGTTTACATTTAAGTTGAGCGATTTTGGTGTAGGCTAAGCCGCCAAAGCCCACGCGCACACACACAGTCATATATACACAGTTATACACACGCACACACACACACAGCCATGACTTTAAGGATCTACAACACTTATCGAAGAGGTCTACATGGATGACAAGATATTATAGATGAACAGTCGCAAATACGCTGGCGTATTCCTTCAGTTACTCCTCGCACCACAAAATACCGCAATAAATCCAAAATCACTTCAATCCAAAGAGGAGCTGCTCCAACGCTTTACTAACGAGGTTCGTATGAAAAAAAAAAAACACCATTATCTTATGTAAGCTCTATTACGTGTAATGCACAATAGCCCGACGCGACTCGTCCGTTTCGATTAAAAGCGGCATTTGATTTGAATTCGGAGCGCATTCTTTTGACCGGCCTTTGTCGTCCGCCGCATTTGACTCGGACTCGCTCGCTGTTGGCGTATTTTTATACGCTTATAATGATCTAAAATTATATGCACTCTCCACATAAGTAGTCGCTGTCGTCTCTGCAGCGGCCGCTGCGCCGCTTGGCATCGTTGTCGCTGCTCATTATAGGTGCAATATACACTTCTAATTCTAATTCAACTGTAATAGTACTCGTATGTACGAAGCCAATCGAGTGGCTGCTAGTTGGTCTAGGCCAGCCAGACACATTGTGGGGCAGTCATTAGAACGAAAAACTTTATAGGACTAGAAAGTTAATATGGTAAATGAGCTGAAATATTAGATAGAGATAGAGATAAAAGAAAATTCGTTAGGCTACAACTACATGTAATTTAGACATATTAGAATCATAAAATTTCGCACAATTGATTATGATAATAATATATATTGATATAATTAATATACATTATTTTTTAAGTAAACGAAGTTATCCTTAACATAATTATATTGTTAGTTTTTAACTAGGAGTAGGTCATTAATTGGGTATCTCTGACCAAGACAAGTAGCTAAATGCAACTCAGAAACAGATTTTAAAGGCGACAACGACCAGCACATAATTCAAATAAATAACAACAAAATGAGCAGCGACAACAGCAAGAATAACAACAACTAGAACGACAGAGCCAATGGCCAACACAGCAGGTCCACATTATTATTATGGTCAGTCTAAAAATATAGCGCCCAACGTGAGCAACGTCGAGCGCGTTGCGATCGCAGCCGGGATTCCAATGATATAGTGAATTTATTAGATATATAGTATAATCGGGAATAGGACGGGACAGGTGTGAACTAAGTTAGTGAGAATGCCACCAAAGCGACCGCCGCCGCTGGTGCCGAAGAAGCCCAATCCCAGCATGAATTACGAGGTGTTAATTTACTTGAATAGCTTCTACTTTGGCATGTTCGCCTGCTGCGAAATGGCCATGGGACTGCTGAAGGCTATTAATCTGAGCTATACGGGTCATACGCTCGCCCAGGACTCGACGGTGATGATAAGCTTCATAGTGCTGGAGACGCTCCGTCTAATGATGGGACGCAAGGGAACGCTGGCCGAGCGAGGTAGGCGTCGGGGGCTATCGCTCAGATTGGCATAGTTTTGTTTTTCTTTTTGGCACATTTTCTATTAATAGTTGTTATCAACTTTTGTTTGTTTTGTTTTGTTTTTACTTGACTAATGATTTGTTTTCTCTTTTGCGTGCGCGCTCTTTGTCGCGTGTGTGTGTGTTTTTTCATCTGCAGGCTGGACTGCCATAATGTCGGTCTTTCTGACTGTTCCGTGCTTTCTGGGCGTCTCGTATCTGCTGCTGCTGCAGACCTACAGGCTACGTCTGGAATACTGCCTTTGTACACTGCAGATCGCGCTCTATCTGACCGAGGTGTGGTACGCCATAGTCTTCGTTTTCTCACTGTGTCGTCCAGTAACTTATGATTAGTAACATACAAGCAACAGTAGTAAGAGGAGACGTTTACATTGTACGACGGGTACTTGACAAAATAATAGAGATAATAGCAATATACAAACAGATAAACTGAGAAATCTGAGATCTGAGATGAAATGAGATGGTCCCTAAAACCAACATATATACATATACATACATATATAACATGTAGCATATAGTCTATACATATATATGCATCTCTACTTGTGTATAGTAAGGTTTATGATAGCATACACATGTATATATAAATATATATAGACATGTATTTAAAACGGTTTTATATATATGAGAATAATTTTTAAAATGTAAGCATCAATTGGAACCAATACAACAAGACCGACAAGCCGAAAAGCTAAAACTTGAATGATTTTCACATTTATATAACAATTTTTTGTATACATTAAAACTATACACCTCTTATGCACCCAGAAGAATTCAATCTTATTGTGTGAAAATTATAAGAAGAAAAACAACTGTCTCGAACTCTTGAATACATTAATAAGTACATAATTGTAATAACAAAATTCCCAAAGATAATATGTTGTTTGATAGTTAGAAAGAAAACAAAAGCAAACTTGTAAATTCTGCAAACTAGTTTATCCCGCAGTTTAAATGATATCTAAAACCATAATGAATACAGAGAAACTCAAACTGGCCCACGAAAAAGTCTAAAGGCAATGTGTGTACTTTAAAGAAATACTTTATATAAATCTAGACTAAACTATATAGCGTATCTAAGCCGTTCAAGAAGCCATTAAATCAATGTATAAGTAGATGAGAATTGAATCGTAGATGATGAAGATGATGAAGATACTTAACACATACATGTTGTTTCTCCACCCCACCCTCCGGCATCCATTCAGTCTCATTGCATTTCATTAAACTCCGCACACCAAATGCTAGTCAAACCATTGAGTCTCCAATGTGGTTCCTTCTCGATTATCCCTCTCTAGTCAAATAACAATCTCAAGCAAATAATTAGTGCAGTGCGAACCCATTAGAAAAGAAAAGAAAAGAAAACATCTTAAATTAGTAAGACACATAACATTAAAGAGTCCTATGTTTGCCACCTTTATTGTAAAATATTTAAATATACATATATATAATTTCTGTTGGAATCCAAAATGTTAAAAGAACATTTTAAAAATCGATAATTGGACAACCAAAGAATGTAACACAATTTAGTTATAACAAAAAAAAAAAAAAAAAAAAAAAGCAAACAGATTTTATGACAAATTATATACACTCGATGAAAAATACCAATTAAAGAAAATGAATAAGAAAAACTATGTATATCGTGCATTTTGTGTCATTATATTGGTAGTAGGCCCTGTAAGTATTACCCTCATAATTTTCTGTAGCAAGACTTGAGTTAGTTCATAAAAAAAAGCACGACGTACACAGTTGTTCCAGATTTACAGGGCCCCTCGTTTCAACTCAACATCTGATATAATTGCGTTCTATAGCCAATTTTAGCTATGGATCAAAAACAAAAGTCTGGTAAGCTCAAAGAAACCATTTTGTGCTTCGGATTATAAAGTTTTCCTTTCGTCCGGAGTAGTGGAGAGTGTTGTATCATCACAATCGAGTACCAGCCGTCGTGTGATGTGGAAGGTTCGTGACGGGGAAGAGGAAGTCTTTGATTCAGTGGTTAACTATACAAGCATCTCGAATGAGTCCAAGGGTTCGTCCAGATCCACTTCCTATCACAACCTGCCGAGCACAAACAATCCACAAGTCTTGGGCTCTTCCAATAGTAACTTTCAGCTGATAATGAAGGAACAGACCTCTACACAAGAGTCGCCTTCCAAGTCGGCCACTAGCCTGGCAATACGTTATAAGCCGTCGCACGAGTCAGTGCAGGATTTGGCCAGCACTAAGCGGGCACGTGCTATTGGAGTCTGGCATAGTTTGTACGATCGGATACGTAGCAAGAAGTTAGGCGATGAGGAATCACCATCGCTGGCGTTGCGGTACAGGCCATCGCACGAATCCCTTAAGAATCGACGCAGCAAGGATATACTCGCGGAGCACCCGTCACCAAGATCGGCAAGCTCTTCCAAGCCCAAGCTCGCTGTTGCAGATCTAAAACTGGAGACGTGTTTCTTTCCGCCCTATCAGACTGCTGTAGTGCGCGAGGTTGCACCCAAGTTTGCCAACCGCATATGTATACTCGATGACAGCGATTCGTGCTGCTCTGGCTCGCTAGAGGTACGAATCCCTTTGCTGAAATCGTCCAAATCCAGAAAACTTACTAGTGCAATCGATTTGTCTACTTCGACTGACGCAAAGAATACCAACTCAAAGATCAAGCGGCGCACCAAGACGACTGCACCGGTATCAAATGCAGGCACGTCAAAGGGAAATGGGAACAAAACCACGGCAACCGGAAACAACTCGAATAATTCTTTGCCAACTTTACGGCAGAGACAGCTAGAACTACATCGTTTTCGCGTGCTAATTGAGAAACGTCGCTTGGAGTTGCTGGATTTGAAGATTGTGCGCGAACGGGCAGACGCCTTGCGACATGAAATACTATTCCACAAGGACTTGCAGCTGAAACATAACCAAATTAAATCATACGAGGATAGCAACAGCTCCCAGGCCTAATTGAAGGACATTCTGTATCCTACAAAATTTCTAGTAGCTTTGAAAATCCAAGTAGTTTTATAAAAACCGCTTTGTTCAAATAAATCGCACAACAGCGCTGCCTAATGGAACATGCAAATATTTGCGTTTTCTTTTGCGCTTTGTCGCATAGCACTGTTAGTATTGGCGGGCAAATTCAAATTTGAAATCACAAAAACCGTTATAGCTTATGGAGGGCAAACTTCAGATTTGGGTGTGTCAGCGCTTCGTGTGATTGTCAACGCAGCTGACATCTTCTACCGGAAAATGCATTTCTCTAAGTTCCCAATGTAACGTCAAAGCTAATGCTGGTTCAGCATGTTCGTAAAAATGTGCCGCATCTGCGGAAAAAGTAAATCATGTGAGAAAAGCTTAAATCTGTTCGAAATTAAAAATCAGAAATTAGTGCGGCATATTCAAATGTTAACTGGATGCTGGGTAAGCTATATAAGAATAAAGGATCCATTTGGTTTAAGTAGTAAGTTAACTAGCATTAATCAAAGCAGCTTCGGGACTTGCAAGATGCTCCCGGGACCATATGCTTTTGTTGTCAATCGGATCTGAAGCGGGCCATGTCATTTCGAAGGCTATGTATTAAGACTCAAAAGAAATGGAAACCGCACGTTGAAGTAAGCGATAGATCATCTCTTAGTGAACAGGATAGCCCAAACCCTAGTCCAAAGCCATTGAATCGCCAGATCCATGACAGCACATATAGAGAAAGTGATTCCGACGATGAGCCACAAAACACAGTACAAGTTTTGCTTGAGGAGTGCCAAAGCAACAGCAATTGGGAGCGGTCCTATCTAGCCGAGGAGGAAGATCATTTGGCTGAAAACTTCATCATGAAGGCAACCACTGATATCGACACAGATGATAGTGAGAATATTAAAGCAGAAGATCAAGCAAATAGTGCGAAGCTCGAGCTTCCCTCGTCGCTAACACATTCTTCAAACGGCTGTAAAAAACTTTTGAAAGCCAAGCAAGAGGCAACCATTTATATTTGTGAATTGTGTGGCACACATGCAAATAGCAAGGTATCTTTCGAGCGACACAGGCGGAAGCACACGGGGGAACGTCCCTTTGGTTGCGAGTAAGACTTAATTGAGTGAATATATGTGAATATATATGCATATTAAATTACATTTCGTAGAGAGTGTTCGGCACGATTTCTATCGGCTGCTGAGCTGCGTGCTCATGGTCTAACTCACACGGGAGAGCGACCGTTTCCATGTCGTTACTGTGAACGCCGCTACATGAGCTACACGGGACGACTGAAACACGAGCGGATGCATACCAATGATCGACCTTATGTATGCGCGGAGTGCGGCAAGGCGTTCACCAATTCCTATGTTCTTAAGAATCATATGCTGGTGCATACGGGCGAGCGGCTGTTTAGGCAAGTGAACGAGTCTTTCGTAAATATTTATTTGCTTTAACCGTTTTTCTAATTGTGTCAGCAGATGTGATATCTGTGAACGCGATTTTCAGCGTAAAACTCATCTTAAAATGCATTATCGTTCTACTACACACAAACAGAACGTTGATAAGCAGCAATACGCTCAGGTTACATCAGAGCAAAAAGAATGAACGAGAGAGAAACAACAAAATAGATGCATATTTGTAGTTGCGGAGCAGTGGGAATAAGTATATACATACATACATATATAGAATTTAAAGTTTTATTTTGGGGCCAGTGTTGTATTACGACAACAACCTGTTGACGCGTCTGGGCGAATGGTGGTCGGTATTCGTGGGTGTGGGACCAGCTGCTTTGTTTACATTCTCAATTGATTGGAATACAATTAACCGGGGCTCACTGCAAAAAATGCTGCAAAATATTTGCCGCATCTGTGAAATTGATACTGATGCATCTCAGGCAAAAAATCTTTTCGATAGAAGCTCACGCCAACTTTTAAAACAAATACAACTACTCACCGGAGTTTGTGTAAGTTATGAAAAAACACGAATCAATCAATAGTTTTAATAATCACTTAAGTAAACCGTACAGTTAGAAGACAAACCAGATTTACCTGAGGTTATATGCAACGGCTGCCAAAATGATTTGAAGTGTGCCATTGAATTTCGAGCTCGTTGCCTACGCAGTCACAAAAGATGGGTGCAGCATCCGAAGGGAATATCCAGTCCTGCACCAACGAGTCCGTCTTCCACACGCGTGATTTGTGTACGTCGGAGTGCACGCACTCGTGTACGTTGTGCGAGCGGGAATGAGGAGAGGGAAGCGCCGTTGAGTCCCATTGAAGTGCTAATCAAAGTGGAGCACCCGAATAATGGTGTTGAAGATGACTCTGTGGATCATTTGGACACAGAAACTTGCAATGACGCGGCGATCGCCTCCTCGATGGAGGATGATAGCTATGTACCTTCCATCGAAACCAAACGACGTCGGCGATTGGCGAAAGACACCATTTCGAAGGAGCCGCGCAGTAAACAAAAGCTACCGGTGTTCTTCTGTGATCAATGCGGTAATAATGTTACCGGCAAGTCAGCCTTTGACCGACATCTGCGTAAACACAAGGGCATAAGACCCTTCCAGTGCGAGTAAGATTGCCATGGTTAATGCTAAGCCAATGATATTTAATACAAACGTATATTATGCTTTCAGGCAGTGCTCTGCGCGATTTCTCTCATCCGGCGAGCTAAAGGGTCATCAAGTGATGCACACTGGAGATCGCAAGTTTTCATGCCGCTATTGTGAGCGGACCTATGTGAACTACAGCGGAAGACTGCGTCACGAGCGCACCCACACTAATGAACGTCCATTCGTCTGCGCGCACTGCGGCAAGGCGTTCACCAATTCCTATATACTGAAAAATCATAATCTGGTGCACACGGGCGAACGTTTGTTTAGGCAAGTGTATAAATACAAATATTTATTATCTAAACAGTTAATGTACAATTTGTAGATTAGTTTCTGCAAGTAGATTGATGATAGTTTAACCCGCTCAGAATCAGGTCCCAAAATATTCGCTCTCGTCCCATCTGCGTTAGTTATGTTTTAGTTGACTTCCTTATATGTCATGAATCGCTTGAGTCGGGCGCCGTTGAATGGCTCTTCGCTGCCCGGTGGAAATTTACGCATCTAATGAATGGGTATATTAAAACAAAAATCATTAAATTACTTAAGTAAAAAAATATTTTTGTTATATTTGTTGTTAGTTTGTTTAAATACTCCAAAGGTTATATACTTACACATTACAATTGAAAAGCGAATAATTCAAATATAATCTTTATCCGGATACCCCAAACCAATTTTCTATTAGATATAACAGGAAGACTTGCCTAAAAATGTTGATCATGGCTTTTAACTTCCGTTGAAATATCAACTTCATTTAGACCATGCCACATTTTTATCAAGTCAGCTTCCATTTACATTTTGATCATGGCGCGTAGTAATGAAATTATTGTCTCTATTTAAAAACCCCAATCAAAACTTATCTATTTTAGCTAGGTTCAGGAGTCGATCTAAAAAATTCATTATATAAAACTAATTTCTTTCGAAGCATTTGAACCAAACTACGATATATTTTTATAACTATAAATTCTCGTTAGTTTTAGTTTTTCTAGTTTTGCTTTGCTTTGTTTTGTCTTGGGGTTTGTGCTATTTGGTAAATGTGTTGTGTATTTTGTAAGTTTTGAGTTTATATGCAAATATATATATAGATATATATAAGTACAGCGATAAAACTGTGATATTTAGCCGTGTTATCCAGTTACTCAAAGCTGTCTGCGTATGGTGCAATGATAATGTACAATAAGCTGTTAAAATTTGTTGTGTTGTTTGTGATTATTGTATTAGGGTTCGTCTTTGGCGAATCGTTTCTGTAATTAAACAAAACTTAAGATTAGAATGTGTTATGCTATAAAACTTATTGGATAAATTAATTTACAAGTGCAATGTCAGCAATTTTAGGTAATATGGAATATTAAATATTTACTTAAAATATATTTGTGAATTTAACGATTGGTGAGCAATTAACGAAAACAACTTGGAATTACAAAAGGTTCACTTAATATATATTATATAATTGTATACCCAAACGGTTTCAAACCATACATATATGTCCGCCCACGAATGTCTGACAATCTAAGATGAGACTACCTTGTAAAATTAATTACATAAGCTAAAAATGTAAGCATCCTGAATTGTTTTTATAATTTGTTGGTGGAACTGCACTGAATAATTTACTTAATTTAGTTAACATCGTTGTCAGTTTTTGGCTAATGATGGAGCAGGAATCAATTTGTGTAATCGCTTACCATGATTCTGTATTTCTCCTTGCATGCATAATCAGTTTCATCAATATCCAAATAACAGTCGGATTTATATTCAGCTGGCAACGGATTGCCTTCGTATTCGCACAATTTGTGTAGAGGCCGTGCCCTAATGGAGTTCAAAGTATTTTTTTTAATATGAAGATTTGATTCGTATTTATGAAGACTCAGGAAAGAATTTAAACTTTACTTACGTGACAATGATCTTACTCATCGAAGAGGGTTTCTGTATGGGACAGTAAAAGACATCTGGTGTCTTTTTGTCGAAGACAATTTTCCTCATCATATCCTTCTCTTTGAGGATTTTCTTTTCATTGAGAGTAGCATATGTGCCACATAATAGTGCCGTGAAAACAAAGATTGCCAACAGATTGCTCCTCATTTTGAAAGAAGAATCTTTAAGAAAGCGAACTAGGTTAGTAGAAATATTATCATTGATCTATGTCATCAGTTGTAACATATACAACATAAATGTACATAATTTTGGGGTCTTGTCTGCAGCTGTTCGAAAAAAAAGCTCATAATGATATCATCGATATTTATACCTGACTAAGCGTTTTAAGTATCGCCCACATTGAACTTATGTCAACTTGTGGATCATATTTCTTGTTAGCCTTATGGCTGAAACATTCCTTACTTGGATTTGTATAATATGTAGCTAAGAGTCACATATCATATTGCTTTAGATTTGCAATGTTTCGCTTGCTTGTGCATTACTAGAAAAGTTGGCATGCAACCTTGAATGTCTCTATACCATGATCAACAAGTCTTTAGGCCACGATTAAGACGTGTTGCCAAACAGTATTCGAATGTTTGCTACATTTATTACTATCTCTTTATGCAAACATAGCTTTGTACACTTATTTCCACACTTGCTTTGCTTAAGTTTATTTAAGATATATCGGCGATTTTAGAGATTGCCTTAAGCAACGAAAAATAAACGCACCTACCTCAGCTCAAACCTAACTCAAACTGTTTGTCTTTGCAACTCATACGAGTCGAGCAAACCGATGCAACCGCTAAGCAATGAAAAAGCTCTTTTAGTCTTTTGGAGGGTATACACACATATGCCTACCTAAGCATGAATGTGTGTGTGTGTGTGCGTATTGTTTTTACAAACCGGTTTCTTCACCATTCAAAAGAAATAAGCAACTACATACAAATATACAAGCAAATATATAAGCATTAAAGAAGAAAGGGAGTATTAAAGCTGTTGCTGTGTGTGTCAGACGCAGACGAAATTACCTTCAATTGAAACTTAAAAGTTTTTCCGACTTTACGAAAGCTAATGCAAGTTAAGTAGGGTGGAACATAGTAATTTTGATTTTCTTTCTTTATTTTTAGCATCATGCACAAGCCGCTGGCGCTTGGAGTTAAGCAAAATGTTTCTTGAAACAAACTGAAATATTTATTAGCTATTGTATCATTATTTCCAGCTAGAATCAGTTAATGAACTTGAAAGTTGACCTCAAATTTAAATGAAAACTACTATTTTTAGTTCCACCTATTTCATTCTCGACAGTCAAATAATATTGTATGCATATTTATATTAAATATCTTTCAGTCTGGATAAACATATTTAAAAAATTTTGTTTTCTTATTTTTTCTCAGATGCGACTTGTGTGAACGCTCTTTTTCACGGCCAACTCATCTGAAGACTCATTATCGCTCCAATACCCACAAGCAGAATGTGGAAAAGTCATGTGCGTCACAGCAGCCGGCGGCCAACTCGACCGACTTGGACCCTATAAATGGAGTAATCTTGCCACTATCTAATCCTGTTACAGTTGAAGTGCCTTTGAAGCAGTGAAGCTATGATTGTCATTTCCTTATTAAATTCAACAATGAACCGTTGGTCAAATGGAATTAATCGCAAGTAAATGATAAAAATATTGATGTGTGCATTCAAAGAAGATATAAAATATAATACAAATATTCTAAGTGACCTTAAAAATGACTGTTAAATATATTTGTCTTGTTTTATTAGTTTACTTTGTCGTTATTCTATAATTAAAGTAGATACATTTCTGAGTATCCTTAAAGCGTAGATATGCCTATTTAAGTCATGCTAACTTGTACTCAAAATTTCCTTGCTTTGGCGTTCTCGTTTACGTTTGTGAGCTCTAGACCGACAATGTGTAACAAGATGAGTATGTCGGCGAAAGGTTTTGTTGCACGGCTCGCAGCTGAAATTGGAGGACATAAGACTGAGCTAATGCGTCATAAAATAAATAGATATTGTAAACCTCACCTGAAGGCGCGTTCGCCGGAATGAGTGAGCATATGATTCTTAAGTATGTAGGTGGTGGTGAAGGCCTTTCCACAGGTCTCACATGCATACGGTCGCTCATTGGTGTGTGTCCGTTCATGCTTAATCCGAGTACTATTGTCGGCGAAGTATCGATCACAATAGTGACAAGGAAAGGGGCGTTCTCCAGTGTGCCGGCGCATGTGGCTCTTTAATTCAGAGCTTGTGCAAAAACGATTCTGGCAAATGCTGGCAGTAAATAAACAAGTATTAAATTTATATGAATTTCATTTCATATTCTTTTTTACATGCTTACGTGCATTCGAATTGCTTGTCACCACGATGTCGTCTACAGTGCAAGTCGAAGGCCACACGGCCGGATATATGAATTCCGCATTCATAACAAACAAATATTAGGTTCCCGAGTCGTTTTCTACCTCGTTTATTTTTTATGTTATTTTGTGGCTCCACAGTTTCGTCGTCGTTGGCTTCCCTGGCTAATATTTTACCTTCGTCACTCCACTCCTTCTCGCACAGCATGTAATCTGCGGAGGATGTATTTCCATCGGATTCGTTAACCAATACATATTGGTCTTCATCAGTTGTTTCTATTGTTTCCAAAGTTTGAACGTCTATTTCAGCCTCCTGTACGATCGTGTCATCATTTATGATGATATCGTATTCCAGTAAATCATCGGGCTTGTCTTGTTCCTCTATAATAATATCTTCTGCTATCAGGTTGGTTTCAATGATTGACTCCTCAATTAGCTCGTCTTGAGCTTCAGTATTGTTTCGATCAACTGATTTCTCACAACTGCTGACAGCTTGTTCCGTTATGACTGTCTTATACTCCTTGGATACTTCATGTAGCTCGTCCTCAGTTAACGCCAACAGAAGTTGTTGCTGTGTGGCAATTACTTTATCGCTAAATGTAATCGCCTCGTGCAATTCTTTTTGGCAGCTGCTACATATAAGTTCCGGCAAACATTTTGCATTTTCCAACTAAATTTTCATAAAGATGTACATATAATACAAATTCTTTTATAGAATATTAAAAGTAGTTTGTTAATGTATTACTTACGACTAATCCTGTTAAAACTTGAATGTTCCAAAGAATATTTTTGTTTTCAAAAATTCTTAATGAGCTTTCTTTGGCGGTATTTTTACCACAGAGTCTACAAATATTATTGAGCATTGCAACAAAAAACTAATACTTTTTGCGCAATTCAAATATTTTGGTAAACAATGTTGTCTGCATAACAGCTGTTTTTGTTTATTGTTACCATTCACACAGCGCAGCAATCAACTCTCCCTAGCTAGTGTTGTAAAATGACTTTATATCCGCTCACAAATGCCCATACATTTTAAAATTGTATCTTGTATCTTTTTTCTTTTATGGATGAATTTTATTTCTTTAATTATATAAAAATACCACTTCTGTTTAGACTACTTCGAGGTAAATTCCACTTTTGACTTAGAATAATGAATGTACAAAAACAAATACTTGGATTACTACATATGTGTACTTTTTTAATATCAATTAACTCTTAGTTTTCTTTTTTTGTGTTTGTTGCTCCAGGTTGCGCTCGTGCGCTCTAGACCGACAATGAGTGGACAGGTGGGTTTGCCTTAAAAAAGTTTTATTGCACAGTTCGCATCTGTAAGTGGAGAATAAGTAATTAAATAATATATCAAATGTATTGTTCGCCGAATAGTCCTCACTTAAAAGCACGTTCGCCGGAATGAATAAGCATGTGATTCTTTAGAATGTAAGCTGTAGTAAATGCCTTGCCGCAGCTAGTGCACACATATGGTCGTTCATTTGTGTGTGTCCGCTCGTGCTTCAACCGGGTACTGTAGTCCGTGAAGCAGCGGCCACAGTACTGGCAGCCAAACGGACGCTCTCCGGTGTGCCTACGAATGTGACGCTTCAGTTCCGAGCTGGTGCAAAAACGATCCTGGCAAACGCTGCAAATGATTATTTATTTAATAAATATATTTATTTATAGTTTTATGGCCATTCGTAAACATACTCGCATTCGAACTGTTTGTCACCACGATGTCGGCGGCAATGTAGCTCAAAGGCCATGCGTCCAGATATGTGATTACCACATTCATCACAAACGAATATGAGACTTCCTATACGTTTGCGGCCGCGCTTTTTCTTTCCCTCACTTTGGGCAGCGATCTCATCGTTTAGTACTCTGTCCAAAACCGCACATTCCTCATCTAAGTCCTTATCAGGCAGAATAAAATCTTCGGTAATTGAATTTTCGTTGGCATCGTCTAAAAGTTCATTTTGCTGCTGCTCTTTAGTTGAAGCCTCCAATATTTCGAAGGTATCGACGTCCTGTGATTCAGCTGCTTGTCTAATTAGTTCATCATCAATTTTTATGTTATATTCCAAAAGATCATCATTTTGATTATGCTCCTCAATAAGTATTTCCTGTTCCTCCGTTTGAATTTTGACTACCAACTCTTCATTTGCTGCAGGTTCTTCTTCAGTTATAGCCGTGGGTTCTGAGCTGATTTTATTAATTAGTGGGTGATTACTGCTGCTAGCATATTCCATGACCGCCACTTTATACTCCTCGGATACATTCTGCAGCTCTTCCTCAGTTAACGCTGATAGGAGCTGCTGTTGCGCCGCTATTACTCTTTCGCTAAACCTTATTGCCTCTCGTAATTCTGTCTGGCAACAAATGCATATTAGGTCTGGCAAACAACTTGTATTTTCCAACTGCAATACATTTACATATTTGTGGTCAATTGGCTTCAAAATAAATACCAATAAATACTTACAATCAAGCCCGTTAGAAGTTGGATGCTCCACAGCATATGTTTGTTTTCAAAGATTCTTAATGATTTCTTATAGGCAGCATATCTGCCACATACTCTACACATGTTTTTAAGCATCGTGTGTATTAATAAAATTGCAAATTAATAGAAAAAATACTCTTTGAGCTCAACAAATATTTTAGTAAACAGCGTCATTTGAAGCTACAGCTGTTTTTCTTAATTATTACCATTCACATGACTGCGTAAAACCGCATCCATCGCCTTGACTGCGGCGAGAAGTGTTGTATAAGTATTTCTAAACCAGTAATTTGTTTATTTACTTGGAATTTAATTAAATTTTCTTTATTGTTCAAATGCATATATTTAAATTGTTTTTATTTCTTAAATATTTTTAATAAAATGTACAATAATGCATGTCCGAAATACCGCAGAGTATGGGCCGATAGCTGTTAAATTCTTAATGATTATTAAATGTAGACATTGTGTAAATTTAACTAATAATAAGAATAGGTAATCCTATTTGGGGTGTTAAGCTTAAATTATACAAATTATTATGTCATTAGTCCTGAATATGCAAGCTTTCCTCATCCATTTCCAACTTAAGCTGAACTGCCGGGTCGTGTTGCATTTGTTGTTTCATCTGATATTTCTCCAAGGTACGCTTGTGTACGCCCGTGCGCATATGGGTACTTAGATGAGTAGGCAGCATAAAGGACTTATCGCACAGTTCGCACCTATAAATAGAACCAGATGCATTCAAGCAAACAGTTTCTTTTTCATTAAACGTGCTATTTTTTACCTATAAGACCGCAAGCCGGAATGTGTCAGCATGTGGTTTTTAAGAATGTAACCCGTGGTGAAAGCCTTGCCGCAAGTGCCGCATGCATAGGGCCGCTCATTGGTGTGGGTGCGCTCGTGTTTCACTCGAGTTGTATAGTCCGAGAAGCAGCGCCCGCAGTACTGGCAGGCAAAGGGACGCTCTCCAGTGTGCTTACGCATGTGGCGTTTGAGTTCAGAGGTTGTGCAGAAGCACTTGTCACAGATTCTGGAAAGAAAGTTAAATAAACGTTAAATTGTTATTTATGAATGACTTTGTTTCACTTACTCGCACTGGAAATCTTTCTCGCCCCGATGCCTACGGCAATGCAACTCGAATGCCATGCGTCCCTTTATATGATTGCCACACTGTTCGCAAATGTAAACGCCACCTGCTCCTCTCCTTCGCGGATCTTCGGGCTTAATTTTTGGCTTAGGTGGCAAATTGCACTTTTTCACAACATTTTCATGCTCGTATTCATCGTCGAGTACGTTGTCTAGAACGGCCACCTCGTCATCAGAATCATACAAATACACTTCAGTGGGATCAGGCACGATAACTTGATCCGACACATTCTCAATTTTTACAATATTCCCATCATCATCAGCCATTAGGCATTCATATTGTGTTTCTTCCACTAGTGAGTCATTTTCATCCTCATCAGCTTCGATTAAATCCGTGAATTCCGGGTCTGTCTCATACTTCACCTTTGCCACTGTGCCACTACTTTCCGGCAACAGCTTGGCAAGGTCGTCTTCCTCCACCTGTTGGTAATCAGGATCAATTTCCTGTTCAGCTTCGACTTCAGGTTCTGAATCAGCTTCGATTTCTTGTTCCTCAGCTGAAGGCGTCAGTGTTTCATTTCCCATAATAAGTGCTTTGTACTTCTCCGGTATTGTCTCCTGTTGTTGTTGGGTGAGGCCAGCCAGTAATTCACGCTGTGCACTAATGCATCTGTCTCGAAACCTGATTGCGCTTGTTAGCTCGATGTTGCAACACTCGCACATCACTTCAGGCAAGCAAGGATAGCTTTCCAGCTTAAGTTAACAGAATAGATGTAGTTTAATATAATTGGCCAAGCAGAGCCGCTGCTTACTTACCCTCAGGCCCGTCATTGTTTCTATATTGCCTAGTAGCTTTTTATTAGCTTTATCGAATATCTTAAACGATTTCTTGAAACTAGCGTATTTACCACACACTCGGCAAGTGTTTTTTAGCCATTTATTCGGTACTTTCGCCATCCTTTTTTTAAAAAAATAATTTTTTATGGAATAATGGTGGAAAATGATGCGCGGATGTGTCTCGCGTTGCCAACTATTTTTATTTGTTGTTTTTTTGCCATTCACTGTGAATGTCAAAATTTTTACATTGAATTAACAGAGTTACGCCGCACTTAACAGCGTTGCAAAGCACGACATGGCAAGCTTGGAATGGTATGTCTTTCGAGAAAATACATTATTGTTTATAAAAAAAAAAAAAAAAATAAATGTTTACGTAGGTTTTGTGCCCCACGCTGCTATCAAGTAGCTAAAAACCATTTACATGGCCAGCCAACGAAGGAGCATCCGCTTAAGCAGCTCACTGTCAACGTCACGGTAAGAGAACAACAAACCTCCGCCCATTATAAACATTCAACTAATTTGCAAAACTAATTTAGGTCGCGGACAAGAATCCGCTCAGCCTGGCATTGGCTCTCGAAGGCACTGACCCATTGTCCAAGTTTGCACGCCAGGACCAAGAGCTCAATGATCCGCTGACCCAAATGTCCAGTGAATTTGTAAGTGAACTGTGAAAGACATTTTTATTTACTGCCATAACATATGATTCCTCTAAAATGCTGAAGTCTAAACGTGGTAATGCAAGTGAGCCGGAGGATAACACCCTTAATTGGAGCACACGCCGGCTAGGCATATTGAATCGCTTCACTACCAATGAAAAACTATCTCTATCCACCAGCTTTTTATGCACCAGCAGCACGGAAGGCGGAGGTGAAAACTGTATGCATACTTTAGCAATATAAATCAATGGAATGAAGTTGTTAATCTTTTACAATGTCCTTCTATGACAGTCAAGGCCCAGACGGTGGTGGCCGACAAGGTCAAGTATCGGCTGGAGCAGCTGGATAATTTCGACGATGGCAGCATGCGGCACATGATGGACCTAACCCAGCAGGAGTACATACAGCGCTTCGACCAGCTAAAACAGGAGCTCATTCAGTCATGGCACAACGATCAACGCGTCAAGGCTCTGAAGATAGCCATACAATGTGCAAAGATGCTGTCGGACACAAGTGTGCTGCAGTTCTATCCCAGTCAGTATATTCTAATCACGGACATCTTGGACGTCTTTGGCAAGCTGGTGTACGAGCGTTTGCGTATAAAGGCGGAGGGTGCACCAGGTGCGTCGGCTGCCCTTCTACAAAGAGAACGCGAAGCTGCGCGGGACACCTGCCAAAATTGGTTCTATAAAATTGCCTCTATACGCGAGCTGTTACCGCGTCTCTATCTGGAAATGGCCATCTTCAAGTGTTACGAGTTGCTGGCTGCTACGCAGAAGGAAATAGAGCAAGTGCTATTACGCCTCACCAGCCAGCTGCGTGGCATTGCTGATCCACTGGTGTCCAGCTATGCGCGATGTTACCTTGTGCGCGTCGGTGTAACGGTCACACGCAGCAAGGTCTATATACGCGACAACTTTACAGATCTCTTCACGATATATCCTCAGGTGGGTCGATCATACTATAATGCAATCTTACAATTTACACCTATATAACCGAATTTTTGTCCGGTAGATCTTTCGCATCGTTGCCCGCTACAATTTGCATCCAGAGACATTTACGGCCGGCGCCTATTTACAGCTATATTCGCCTGCTTTTGATTATATGTTGCAGTGTCTGATGCACGAAAGCGATCTTTACGCACAAGAAATGCTCAAGGAATGCAAACAGCTGAAGAACAAGTAGGCTACCTACATATATCTGCATGATAATATTTCTGTTTGTAATTATGATTTTGTTTTCCTAGCGGAGCTATTCTTTTATCTATACTGAACTCCTCAAAGGGGGAATTCGTTGCCGCACATGCTCACGAGTTTTTAGAGCTCATCAATAACAGCGACACACCTGGCATTTCAAAATCTCAGTTATTGCGACCGCTGGGTAGTTGCGTAAGCAGTTGTGCACCGTTGCAGGAGCAGCGCTTGGCCTTTCTGAACGCAGCGTTTCAAACGATTAACACCCTTACGGATCCGAACGAATATATAAACTGTGTAGAGACCTGGGCACCGTTTGTTGCACAATATTTTACGGTTCGTATGAAATTATTAATTGAATCCAATAACTAAATGATTTAATTTCGCATTTCAGATACACGAAGTGAATCGTTTGCTTGGCGAACTTAATACACGAATGTGCCTAGGTAAGGCATATGAGAAGCATTATGGCCAGCTGCAAAGCATTTTAACTAGAATAATGCAAAACTATCGAAGTATTGAGCTGTTGCTAATACAGCCACATTTTCTACCTTATTTGGATCTGTTCCACAAGGAGTCGGTGCGGGTTGAGATGTGCAAGTCAATACTGAGCTACTATCGGCAAAATAGTGAGGAGAGAACCAGCGATGCGGTTGTCACAAATGCACTCATGTATCTTGGCAAGATTCTCAACGACTCGGTCAAGTAAGTGAATGAATGCAATGCCAATTTATATAACTAATTGATAAATAACGTATTTATAGCGCACTTACTGTGGAGGATGAGCGCCGACAGATTTCGCAGCTTATCAATGGTTTCATAAATAAGGTGCATTTTGGAAAAGATTTGGAGCAACAACTTAGCTTCTATGTTGAGGGACGCGGCACCTTTAGCAACTTGGACGCAGTTTATGTAACCCTCGTGCATGCCGCCTTGAAGCTTACTATGCAAGCGTCTAATCGGCAAGGCGCCAAATCATTGGGTTTCATCAAAGCGTGCATTGCTTATTGCTTTATAACCATTCCAAGCATTACTTCCGTTAGACAGAAAATGGATTTGTATCTACTGTGTGGACAACTAGCTCTGCGTCACTTGTGTTTGGGGCAAGGTATGTTTAATTTCTGAAAATGGTATACTGAATTCAAAACTGAAACTTTTTTTTACTATTAGCGGATGCGTGCTTTGAGGCTGCGTTACAGCTGATTGACGAGCTGCCGGCCTCAACCGTTGATTTCGAAGGCAAACCACGTTGCTTGGAGCGCTACCTAGTCGCGTATCTCTGTAACATGCTAGCCACCCTAATCGTAGTGCCCGATAGTCCAGAACAGGGCGTCTTGTACTTCCTACGCCTGCTGCTAGATATCGTCGGCAGAAGAGCCTTCAAGGCGAATAGTAGTGCACCAGCCATAATATACTTGCATGTTTTGGACATGCTTTATGTGCAAAGCATGGAGAAGTTTCCATATCACATCGATGGAGGTAAAACCCTGCTATATATATAATATAACTTCAAGCATAACCAAATCATATTCTTCTTAGTGGTTTCGAATGATGCACTCTATGGTCACGATCCCAAGTTCCTAGCTGAGGTTAATAATCTGTGTGGCCAGGTCGTGGAGGCCATACTGCTCCAGCTTAAGGCTTTGGGAGCGGCTCAGCAGCAGCGCACCCAAGCCCAACTCTCAATGGAGCTGTTTATGCGTATAGTGCGCTATGCAGATCTCGAGAGGGAACCGCTGTGTGCGTTGGCGGTAAAACTGTGGGTACTCGCTAATAAGGCACAGGCCCAACTGGATTCTGAAACCATTGTGAGTTAAAAATATGCATAATAATATTAAGCAAACTATTATAATCTTGCCTATTTTATATTGCAGCCTCAAACGTTGTGCAGCGTGGAGCATTTCTACAAATTAGTCAAAGATTCCTCACCAAAGCGTGCTCAAACAATTGCGAAACTGCTGTTGCGCATGCGCGACAGTCAGAAGGCTGCTACCAACAGTTGAAACAGTTGAGATTATCAAGTGGGGCGAGAATCGGTGATATGTCGCTTAGATCGACATTATCTTTGTTGTGCAATCAGGCTGAATTAAGACTTAAGTATTTATATAGACAGCATGCTTGCAAAATGCATCTGGATGCGTATGGAACTGAAATGAAATTAACTTAATGTTTTATAAATAGTGAAAAGAGATCCTTTAAGTTTTTTTAATGCGTTTATTCAATTTCGATTGCTTTAGGCCCGTTTTGCACAGCCCCTATTTATTGCATTTAAGCTGTGCGTTACGATGATCACATGCAGCGCCTTAAAGTGCATTTCATTGGTGGCATAAAAAACTTGTTCAATTATTAGAATTTACAAATTCACAATAAGCTGCTGCATGTAGGTGTTGCATATGCTAAGGTATGAAGGTGTAAAAATATGGTTTACATTGATCCATTTATATAAAACTGTTTTCTTTTTGGTAGTTTAAAACATTTGAGGCAATTTGTCGTTTTGCTTGTGCATTTCAAAAATGGCTATATACTATGGCTGACAAGCTCGAAAAATCAAATCAACAACTTAAATAAAAGCTTCACGAATACCAAGTAAATAATAATACATATTTATATATGTGTGTGTGAGTGTATAAAACTACGTATTTATGGGAATATGTATATTTTATATGTGATGAAATCGCGTTTGAGTGTGGGTAGCTTAAAAATTCGTCTCTTTGAACTCCTTGGACTGCAGTAACGGCGCCACATTCCCGTTGCCACCGCCTCCACCGCCAAGACCAGCTTCAACTGCATCAGCATCGGATGCTGTTGCACCACCTACGGTATAGGCCAACACAGTGGCATGATCCAGTTTGCCAGGCAACGCACTAAATGCACTGCTGTCAACGATTCGTTTGCGGGCCGCTCTGTGCTGCATGCGGTTCAGCTGCACCTCTCGCTTGACTCCATCCGGGCCAGTGGACAGCTTATAAAAGAGTTCCCGCTGCTCGAGGGTTTTGCGGCGTGCGGAGGTGATCATCCGCACAAAATCGATAAGTAGGTGGCAGAGTCGCCGTGCTGAGGCGCAGGGTGAGAAAGTTCCGTTAATACCGTAACTAAGTAAGTCCTCCAGTCGGTGCAGCGTCAGGGCATGCCGTTGCGGCCCAGTGACCAGTGGCAGGCCCATCGCCGATTTGGGAATGCGTTGAATTGGCGGTGTTGGTGAAGCTGGTGCCCCGGCACCGGCGCCTACTCCATGGCGTGCTTCGATCAGTGTCTGGGAGCGCATATACTTGGGCCGGCTGGGCACTCCGTTTGGTGGGCTGCCGGCTTTTGGCTTGCGTGTTCGACAAGGCGGCGTGGCCGACGACGGATGCAAGCGAGCATAGATCGCTGAGGCACTCTTGTTCTGTCGCTTCGGCGCCAGATTCCCTGGCTGCAGTTGCTGGAGCTTTACATCAGGTGTCCAAGCCTCGGCGAACTTGCCGACGACCGGATCAAAGTTATCGCTGATGCCGTCAGAAGTGAGAAACACAATGTCTCCACGCTCGATGCAGCTCATCGAGAAGGTGAGATTGCTCAGTTCGGGTTTGTTGCCATCGGCGGGTCCCAGCGCTCCCAACGCATCACGCATATCTCGCATGGAGCTAATATCATGGGATGCTTGCGTCAGTTCCCGCACACCGTGCTTCTTCGAGTACACGTAGCCCAAGGAATCGCCCACATTGCACGCACAGACCACATACTTGCCGTTTGCGCCGTCCAGCGGCAGAACTACAGCAATGGTTAGTGTGGAAAGTGCCCCGCCCACTTCCAGTATGCAGCCGTGACCCTCCCACAGGCTGCGCAACAGACTCACAAACAGCTCCTGTGTGGTGGTGGCCCGGCACTCGTGGGCTTGCCCAAACACGGCACGGTCCAAATAGTCCAGGCAGCCGTGCACAGCCGAGCGAGCAGCCAGACGAGCGCCATCACCTTTGGAAAGAGGAAGAGGATGTTATTCGAGCTCGAAAGGAAAATGCGACCTAAGTGACCTAAACATGTACTTAACATTCGTTAGACTCACCCCAATTGACGCCATCAGCCATGGCCATGGCAGCGGCATCGCCACGCACAACGCAGCCATAGCAATCGGCAATCGGATTGCCCATTGGCTCCTTGGTCAGCATGTTGTTTTCGTAGAGGGAAACTGAGATACCGTAGGCGAAATCGCAATCCATTTGCCAGTTTTGCACGCCAGCTACCGGCGTGGAGAGGGCGGTGGGTGTGGCCGCTGGTGTGCTGCTCTGATTGCTGACGGCTTCACGCAGCAGTCGTTCGCGCTCCGAGTTGCCAGCTGCCGTGGAGGCCTCAGTCTTCGCATTCAAGAGATTCTTGTTGTTCTGATCCTGGGCAGGACTGCTGTTGCTGACCATGCTGACCACTATGGTGGTGGCTTTACCACCGGCGCTCTCTCTCGCCGCAGCTGATGAGGCGCTAATGCTGCTCTTTGAGTTCTTCCTGGATCGCATGCCTGAGGCGACAGTGGCTCCACCTGCAGTACCCGTGCCCGTCGCGCTCTGATCCGTACTGCTCTGGCGCCGCGCAAACTTGTTGCTCAGCCTTGTCGATGCGCTGATCACTGGAGCCGGCGGCGTACTCTTGCGCACGCCATACGCATCCTCGTTCTCCTGCTGCGTATCGATGAAATCAATATCATCCGCATAGCTGGCACTTAAATGCAATTTCGAGCGCTTGATCCCTGTCAGGCCCTCGTCCGGGCCTGTGCAGGCGGCAATGATCGTGTCCGGGCCAGTGTCGTAGCTGCCCAGCTTCAGCACGGGCATGTCTGTGGGACTCTGGCCATTGTAGATCTCCGGTCCGCCGGCCATAAACTCACGCTCCATACGACTGCAAGATAATGAGGCTGTAACTATGTAACTATGGAAAAGGTCAGAGGGCGCACATACCCCTCGAGATATTTGGTAATGAAGCTGCCGTCGTCCTCCTCGGCGTTGCCATTGACGCGCCTGCGGCCGTCGCGCGGCTCCGCTATAAAACTCAATTGTCGAAAGTACGTGGTGACCTTTTGCCGGAGCGATGGCATCTTGACGAGATGCTGCTGCTGCTGTTGCTGCTGCCGCTTGGTTTGCTTCTGAACTTTCTCTAATTGGGGCTGTGTCTTAATTGATGCAGCGCTGGTGCGGGGGACTTACCGCCTCCAGTTGGAGTGCAAGTGCATTCACCTCATCGGCGGCAATTGTTGTGGGAGTTGCTGCCTGCAGCGAGCCAGATGAGACAGAAAGAGTTTCTTATTTAATTATCAATAAATTATGCAATTAAATGAGGTGCAGTCGCCAGCTACGGCCCCAGCTAATGGCAGGATGTGCACTTAGTGGCCGCAGGGCCTCTACACAAACACTACGAAGTCAGGATTGCCCAGCTGCTGAGCATAATGCAGGGGCCCCGCCCCTCCAACTCTCGTGAGCAGGCAAACACAACCTGAATGGGCTTTCAACTTGCGCTCATTTCAGATGCAGGCAGATGATAGCTGCTGCGGGGGGAGAAGAGAAGAGACACTGTGGCTTCCCGTTTCAAATGACGCAGTTGATTAATGAACCGCCGCGTCACTCCGTTTCGCTTGCCAAATGGCAGAGAGAATAAATGGCATATTCGTTCCTTATTCCGCTTTAATCTTGCTAAGTTTTAGTTTATCTTACGTTTGGTACCTGACAAGCAAATGAATCTTTAACCTTCTCTCTTCCTAATTGATTTCAGTCTCAATAAAAATCTAACGAAGCTGGCTAGAAATGGTGCCAAAGCTATCATGATTTAGTTAAGATTATGAAAAAAGTTCAATTTGTGATCTATATAACTACTGAAGGAATTATCAATCTGTAATTAAGTTTTACTTAGCCTTAGTATTAAAGCTATCTGATATATATATATATATATATATATATATATACTTAGTCGGAGAGCATATCAAATCTTTGATATTCATAAGTAATAAATCTCGTTAAATGATAGTTTGAAATACGTTATTATAGCACGGGGCTATCGTTACATTGCCTATTAAGGGTCGTGCCAGTGGCAGATGTAAGAGAAATAATAATATGAATTGTAATTTAAAGCTAGCTGACCTTATTTTCAAAATGTTGCTTTGAAGATTAAGAATTCTCTGCGACTTGCGCTGTTTATAGTGGTTAACTAAACGCTCAGTTGAGATACAGTTGCATTGCGCAAGCTGCTGACCAGTTAAGCATAACTGTATTTAGCCTACTGGAAATGGCCTGACTACGAAATACCTTGTCTTCTTCATATGCAGCTCTTATATTAGGAATGATGGCATTCATTCCTTCCACTACAATACATAAACATGCTTAAATAATTGTTTAGATCTGGTACTAGAATTACCGCTAATCTTGAGTAGGTAATAATAGCAAGAGACTCTCTAGTTAATTTTCCTTAAACGATGCGCACAAGCCGCATTATGTAACCGAACAACTAAATGATAGTAAACAAAATGAAAACGCAGCAACGACAATAATTGCTGAAAGCTTTTGATGATGGACACAATTGTTTGTTATTGTTGTTGTTGTTGTTGTTATTGTAGTTGCTCTGTTTTAACGATGTGCCGCTTTAATTTATGACACTTCAGTGATCACTTAAAATGACAAATGAATTATTCATTTATTGGCCAGTTTCCAGCATAAACAACGAGGGTGCGCCTCTCTCAGAGATTCTCAAAAGTTGTGGGTAAACAAATAAATGAAATAGGCAAACAAATAGAGTTACAAAAGTGGCTTCTACACAAAATATATGCGCATTCATTCAGCATACCTTGAAACGAACCAGGTGTGTGACATGAATCTACCTTTTACCGATCTGTTTCCATTTGATTAAGCAATCGCATCTGTACCGAGACCCACTGAAGTGTTGCACTTACAGGCGAGCCATTGCGGTTACGACACACTCGTTGGCCGTTAGGCACGTGTCACAGCGCCGGACAATGGGTCAGATATCGGCTATAAGGCAGGCAAGTGAATGAACGCAGAGAACTCACAATGATCGTCGTCAGAATAAATATATTTAAAGAGCTCACATTGAGTACAAGAGCTCAAGCGGCTTTTGTGTGTCAAGTGAAGAGGAAGAAGAAGGAGAACATGATAATGATGATGATGACTGTGCTTGACATAGGAAACGTGGGAGCTGAAAGTACAAGCCATTCATACC